TTGCTAAATTAACTCTGTTAAACTAACTGACTCGATTTGGAATATGAGCAGACTATCCTATGGTGAATTTCTTTTTTTAATAAGATGAATGTAATGGTCATGATTGATAATTTGGTATAATCTGCCTATAAGCACTGAAATCAAATTAGGGGTGTGCAAAATAATCAAAAAACTGAACCAAACCATGAATCGAACCGAATTACCATTAAAATAATTAGTTTTTAAAAAGCAGTTCATGAACCGAACCAATTTTTAAAGAACCAATTCATGAACCGAACCAGTTTTTAAAGAACCAGTTCATGAACCGAATCAGTTTTTAGAACCAGTTTAAGAACCGAATCATTTTGAACCGAACCGTTTCCGAACCGAACCTTTTTCAAACCAAACCAAATTGATTTTTATAACTTTATTTCTTAATTTTTTAATTTTTTTCTTTTCAAAATAGGATCGACCCGAACCGGTTCTGAACCGAACCGAACCATTTCCAATCGAATCGAACCGAACCAGTTTTGAACCGAATCGAACCGAACCATTTAAATCAATTCGGTTCGATTTTTCAAAAAATTCGGTTCAGTTTGACCCATACATATCCCTGTTGATGAGTGTGGTGGAGGATTGCTTATCTAGGTAAGGTTTGATTTTGCTCTACACTCTATAGTCTGCAGCTTTGGGTGACTCAATTAAAAATTGATTGACTTTGAGCTATTAGTTTGCAAATTAATTAATTTAAATCATATTATTAAAATATTAAACACTACTATTTAATGACTAATTATTATGACAACTATATAAATAAAATTAATTGCACATGCTAGTAAAAAAAACTAGTGTATTCTAAATATTATGTCAAATATCTAAAATAGTTAAAAAAATTAAATAATTTTAATTAATTATAGGCGTTTGCTTTGGAGCTTAAAATAGTTATTAAATGCTTTGGAAATAATTAAAATAAATGATTAAAAAAACTTCAGTGCTTTGGAGCTTAAAAAAACTAAATGATTAAAATAAATAAAATGAAAATCATGTTAACTTGCCTTAGAGTTTTTTTTCTTTGAAAGAGCTTCAATGCTTCACTTTGCTACAAACAACCGTATGCTCTGCAAATGAAAAAAAAAAAACAAAAGAGAACAGAATGCTTCAAATGGAAAAAGAGAATGAAATAGATCTGAAATTTTAGCTATACCAATGAAAGTGAGAAACACGAAGGAAAAAAATATGATAATGTGAGGCTCGGACGGTTGGGGTTGGACCACTTAGCATATCGTCTGAGTTCGGGGGGGGGGGGGCGACACTCAAATAATGAGTGCCGTGGGATGGGATGGGCGGCACTTAAGAAATAAAAAAAAATTATAATTAGTGTAGTTGGGGGTGTGGGATGACACTGTATGTGAAAAAATATATATATATATATCACAAGAGTGCCGTGGGGATGTGGGGTGTCATTTAGAGTCGCCGGTTCCCCTACGGCATCAAAGGATTTCAAACAATAATATCTCCCAACCAGATACTAAATTAATACATTTAAGCAGAAAAAACTCCAAACTGGTGAAAGAGTCATAGTAACACACTACCACAGAATGAAAGATGTTGATTTGAGTTACTAAGTTGGGCTTCGAACCCAAGTTGTTTCAACTTCACCATTGCTACAGACTAAGGAATTTCAAATTTAGACGTTAGCAGCTTAGAGTAAGCCCAAACTCTTTTTGATTTGGAAGCATGTTTAAAAGAAATTCTTATGTCCTCGTAGTAATAAATACAATTTACTGAAAGTTTAACATGTCCTATAGTTATATATATTGTTAAATTAATTTAAATTCAAGTTATTACTGCTTATTTTTTGTAACTTTTTAGGATATATTTATTAATAATTTTACTTTTAAAACTTAAAATTAACATGCTATAATAAATCGGTATAGTAATATGAAAGAAAAATAATAAACACATAATTTTTTCCGTCTAATAAATATATTTTAATGTAATTATAAATAAAAATCAATTTTTTTTGTACTCTTTTTATTATTATATTGATAATATTATATGTTAATTTATCGATATATCATTATAAAATGTATGAAGATAATAAATATTTTTCTTTTCAAGTTTACTGCTCACAAGACTTATTAAACTGCGGGTAATACTGTAAAGAAATAAGATATTATAGTAATATTTTTTTCTCAACTTTATATAGGTTGATAGAATTTAGGGATGATACATAGTTATTAACCAAATTAACATACATAAATTCAAAGGTAATTAGATATTTTATAATGATGCAAATTTTTTTAAGTTATTATCTTTTATTTTTTATTTATATACTCGTATTTATTACATTTTTTATATTATTATGTGCATCGCACATTATGCTAGTCTTTAAAAGAACACATTTTATTTACCAAATTTTTATTTTAACAATTAAAGATAAATAATTCTTTAAAAATTTAAAAATTATAATATAAATATAAATATATATGTTGTCGTGGGATCAGATGTACCTAGAAATTACAACTCAGTTTATCCAAAAAAGAAATTACAGCTCACAAGGTGGCGACGTGCGTTTACACTTTTTTTTAAAGTATTCTCCACCGGTTCATTTCTCGAACTATTTTACACTTCTTTAAGAGTTGAAAAAATCATATCTTTTTTCACATCATTTTCTATATTTTTCTTTAAAACAGTGTATATTTTAATATATTATTTTGTTTTATTGCAAAAATAATAATAAAAATACCTTATTTACACATTGATTTTATAAATTTAATATAAAAATAAAAAAAAAATTAATTCTAGTTTTCTTAAATAAGAAAATCTATAAATCTATAAAAAAATAATGTACAAGAATCATTTCTCACATAAGTAGTGTATAAAAATAGTCCGTATCTAATATTTATTGAATTTAAAAATATAGGGATGAATAGGTGTTGAGCTCAAAATATACCTGCACCCAAACGAGGTTGTGCAAGCGACATCTGTCCAATACGTGGCGTCTGAATTTTACACTGTCGATTGTGGTATTTGACAATTATTATTCTTCTTATTATTATTTAATGCCTTGTTTCGTGGGGTACCCTTCCCACTAGCCGGAATGTGGTCACTAAATATGCAGGGCATTGTTCCTTATAAGTAGCAGCTCTTTCCGAGTTTGTGTTTGTTTTAAATTGGAACACACAACTTGTAACTGTGGTCACTTCTGAGACTCAAAAGAAAACATCTTTCTCCTAATTCCCTCATCCTCAGTATCATAAATACTAAGCTCTAAAACTTATGTCACTGCTACAAAGGGAACTTGATCAATAGCTAGCAGCCTAGCATTTGAACTTGAATTTCCAGGTACCTATTTCTCTATATATTTTGTTCCATCGATCCTGAGGCTAATATATATATATGTTGGATTTTTGTACTTCAGAGAATGCCTTCTTTTTTTGTTATGATTAGAAATGTTATTTTGTTATAAATTAGTTTATGCTATCCTATTCTTCTTTTAGTCATTTTTTAAAGTTGTTTTGTGTATCTATGTGAATTCTGGCCACCAGGTGGTTCCCAAAGGAGGAATGATTCTTTTCGTTTGACGTCAAGCATCAAACTTTCTTCTACCCACCAAATATTTTTCAGTAAGAAACGTTACTTGTTCTTTTAACGGATTATATATATAGATGTCTTCATCCCAAAGTTTTAAAATTCATTTTTTTCAAGGCACGTAAATAGAAAAATATTTTATTCTCTATCGATCGGCTCAAGTTGTGCTAAAAGTTAGATGTAGGAAACTTAAAAACTGAAAATGACAATTTAAATTTTTATGTTTATAAAAGTACTTCGCGACACCTAAACCTAATTATTATGTTCATCGTTACCAAGACAAAAATCTATATTTCTACCTCTTTATTTTGGCACAATATTAGTTGTTGTAATTTTAAATTGGTTCCCCTTGTTTATTATTTTACTATATAATATACATAGCTTTTGTAGAACCAGTAGTTGCTTCAATCATTATAGAGACATATGGTGGGTGCAGTTTGATCCAACTTTCAGTGCTGGTGCTGACAACGTATATCTTGATCTAGTTTTTTTGATAATATTAAATAATGTAAAAAATATTAGAATAGCATTTTGTTGCACCTACACGAAGGAAAAGTGAATTGATTCTGACGGAGATCCACCAACCCTCATGAAAATATCACAATTATTTATACAAATTAAAAACTATTTCTGTTGTTTCAAAGGAAAATATTAGTTTTAAACACAAACAACTGATATAGGAAGCAGCTATAAAATATAATATCATCCTCACAAAATAATCTACTATGTGCTGCCTTGTCTTGAAGTAGTCCACTCTTTCACGCATTGACAAGTTATATTCGTCAAGGTTCTTAATTAATTTCCTATCATGAACAAGACAAGTAACAAAACGCTTACATTGATTTAATTACCTTAATTAGCCTATATTTATTTTCCATTAACAGATAATTTTTTGTTTTATTTAGTCTAATTATCTTACATTTGTAATCTGTTTATTGCTTGTCTCAAAAATAGTGAATCTAGCTTTCTTTAATTTTAACCCTAAAAAAAAAAGTGTCTGTAATTTTAAATAACAAAGTTATCTTATTTTAAGAGAGATACAGACACAAAAAATTTGAATTTTAAATTAAAAAAAATCACTCACTTTCTCTCTCATGATTTTCGTTTTTTTGTGTCTATCTCTCTCCTAAAATGACATAACTTATATCATTTAAAATGACAAACACCAAACCCTAAAAAATATATTAACAAAAAGTATATTGTGCTATTTTATTATTTAAAAATAAATTATATAAGAATGATGTAGATTTTTCGAGGTGCAAATATGATATTACTTTAATCTTTTTTTGGCTTTTACTCTTCGGAGTTTTGAGAAATAGCATGGATCTTTATTTCAGCTAATTAACAATGGCCAAATCCATAGCAGTGATGAACACAAACAGCACAAGATTGTTCGTTGCGTTTTGATGCAACATCAGAAGAAGAAAATGGTGATGCGGGAGGCTGAGATGGATTTCCAAGGCGAGTTGGAATCGCAGTTACAGAACGAAGAAGAACTGAACAAGAATCATTCTTTCTCGTCGCTTGGAAGACAGTCATCAATATACTCACTCACCCTCGACGAGTTCCAACACAGTCTATGTGAGAGTGGCAAGAACTTCGGTTCCATGAACATGGACGAGTTCCTCAGCAGCATTTGGAACGCACAAGAGAACCAAACCATAAACTCTTCAAACACCAACAACTTGTCTTTAACCCAAACTTCCACAGAGAAAGGGATAAGGAAACAACCAAGCCTCCCTCGCCAAGGTTCACTATCCATTCCTGCACCTCTCTGTAGTAAAACAGTGGAAGAAGTTTGGTCTGAGATACACAAAGAACAACAACAGCATCAGAGTAACAATAACACCAACACCAACAACAACAACGTTGTTCAGAATACTGAGTTTGCAACCACACCTCGCCAACCCACTTTTGGGGAAATGACTTTGGAGGATTTCTTGGTTAAAGCAGGTGTAGTTCGGGAACAATGTGCTATGCAAACTGCACCAGCTTCTCAGCAGCATTACGGGGTGTATAGCACAAGTAACAACTCTACAATGGCTTCTTCTTTTGTTGGTGGACACGTTATTGGAGAAGGGAATGTGGTTGCACCGCCTTACCAAGCGGTGGCTCAGGGAGGTGGTGCAGTTGGGGATATTTCCGGTAAGAGGGATGGTTCTTCGGGGTATGCTCAGCCGTCAGGGGTTTGCTTTGGAGGGAGGGTGGTGAATGGAGGGGGAGGGGGAGGAGGTGTGTATGGGGTGGCACAGACTATAGGAATGGCTTCACCTGATCATGGGATTGGTAATGAGAACTCTGGTGGCCAATTTGGGGTTGAGATGGATGGTTTAAGAGGAAGAAAGAGGATGGTGGATGGTCCTGTGGAAAAGGTGGTGGAGAGAAGGCAGAGGAGGATGATCAAGAACAGAGAATCAGCAGCCAGATCTAGAGCCAGAAAACAGGTGCCTTATTTTATCAATGCAATGGCTAGGTCCTAAATGCCTTAATTTATAGGCAAATGTCATCTACTGTCGCCTGTAGAAATTTTTTTTTTGTAGTAACACATAGAAAATCAGGATACGCATGCTGATCCTGGTTTATTTTATTTTATTTTTAAATGTCAGGATCCGCACGTGGATTCTAGTGTAAATTTTATTGCTGTAAAATTTCTCCTGCAACAACGGTAGAAGTGACGAATCCTAATTTATATCATGAAATGTTCCTGTTGGTTTTCTGTTTCATACAGATAATCTTGCAATGCTGCTTTTGTGGTTTTAGTAACTCACAACAGTTCTTTAATTTTTGGCCAATCTTCTAGTAGTGCTGTTTCCTTGTCTTTCTTCCAGTTGAGTGAACTAACACACTAATGTTGGTGCATCATTAACATACTATTGAACATTATAACATTAGAAGATTTATAAAACAGAATGTTATATGTTGAGTAAACTAACACACTAATGTTGGCAGGCATACACAGTGGAATTAGAAGCAGAACTCAACCAATTAAGAGAAGAGAACGCCCAACTTAAACAGGCGCTGGTACTGCCAAATAACATGAACTTTTGCATAATGTTAAATAGTTTACTTCGTTTTTCTTATGTGTTAGTAATTCAATTACTGAATATGATCATGGTTTAACTCTTCAGGTCGAGCTCGAGAGGAGAAGAAAGCAACAGGTAAACACTGATGATCTAATTACAGTTCCTAGTTTGAAGTTTACATTTAAGGGTAGAAAAGCTTTGATGTAGAATTGTATTTACAAATTACATTACCATCATTACAGCCCAATATGAAGTATTTAATATCTGTACAGCTTTGGCTATGTATGCAGCTTAATATGGTTGCTTTATTTCCCATGAGATAAATGCATAACAAAACTCCTACTCCTTATATCTCCATTTCTTTGAAGCAAAAAACTTTAAACCGCATCTAAATTATTATCTTCTGATCACCTGTTGCAGTGTTTTGAGGAGGTGAATGTGAGAGTTCAAACCAAAGCTCATAAGGCAAAAGAGAAACTGAGAGTATTGAGAAGGAACCTGAGTTGTCCTTTGTGAAGACACTGCATGGTAACCAGTGAAATCCTTGGATTTTAGTAAGCATAGGAGTTGGTTATCTTCTATTGTGGTTAAACGAAGAAAACTCAATGATGCAAATCAAGAGGGGAAGACGAGAAGACTGAGACTAAAGTCAAAACCAATTAAAAAGAGAGAGAAAGAAACCAACGAGTTGTGATTTTAATTTGAGAACCATTCTTCTAGAGTGCTCTAAGTTCACGAGATCAATCAAGAATTGGATCATCCAATTTGTATTGAATCTTTTAAAATGATAACTGGTTACTCAAATGTATGAATAGCTATTCCATTATTGATGGCATTCTCAATGTTGTAATTACCTTATTATGTCATGTGTGTAGTGTTTCATGCTTTTTTACTCTTAAAATACGCTTGTTTATACATGCATGAGATAGGGAAGATGACTTTCTTCATTAATTGCCGGAATCAATCTAATTATTAGATATTGTGATCTGTGAATTTTTTACGATCACAACCCTTTATTATGATAAACGATTGAATAGTGGTCTACACGTGTTGTGTTGGAAAAGTTTACCATCCAATTAAAATTGAGTATTTTCTGTCATACATGTACAGAGTACATGGTCCGGTTCATTGAAAATATTTTCGTAAACAAGAGTATCAAAATTTTGAATTTTTTTTTTTTTTTTTTTTTAAGTATAACCGAAGACTAATCCAAGTATCTTTAAATGAGTATTTGGTTTGAATACAAAAAAATGACATCAGTTGCGATCCGGACAAACAACCGATCAGTTTGTGAATATCATTTTTTTCTTGTATTTTGTGCCAGATTTACATCATATTAATTAAGGAAATAATTGTCTTATACCACATAAAGACAACTATCTTATGTTGCACACTCATAAAATTTTGTGCTTATTTTTTTTTTCTTTTATATTTTTTTAAAAATTGTGAGCCCCACAATTTTGTTTCACCCACATAACATACTTATCTCATGTGACATAAGATTAATAATTAATAACTCTTTATTAATTATTCTCGTAAGATAAAATAAAAACCAATGTTTTTCTCTCTCTTAGCTTTTTGCGTGTATCCAGCGTAATTGCTGAGAATTGAACCTCCTACCGATCCGATCCATTAATATGATTGATTTTGAATGTAGCTCTCTGAATGGAGTAAACATTTGGTGCTACCGATGCACCATGCATCGGTCCCAAGCAAAAAAGTTAAGATAAGGATGGAATAAGAATGAAAGGGTAGGAAAAAATGAAAAGAAAATTTACTTTATTTAGAAAAAAGATATACCCAAGTGGGTACATCCTCTCTACAGAAGAAATTCCCTCTGAATGAAACCAACATGAAACATGCACTAATTGAGACAAGTGAAACATTTACCACCATGCTACTGTGTTAAGAATTAGTTATTATTCTCTATCATTATAATTTGATTAGTCCAATGAAGATTAGTTATGTATGCATTGGGATATTTGGTAATTATTTTGATTATTAATGGTAGATGGTTAAAAAAACTATGGTTTGTTGTTGATATCTCCCACTCATCTAAGTAATTTAAAATTGTTGCATACACAACCACACTTCTAAGTGGAGGAAACTTTCCAATTGTGCGTCAATACATGTTAACAGTAACTTATAACTAGGATGTTAGTCCTATGAGACTCTGGAAGTGTACTTACAAGTCAATATTGTAATCAGGCCCAGGAAACAACATGAGTAATTATAAATCCTTTTAATTAATCACATAATAATTATCCTCATAAAAAAGGTATTAAATTATCTACTTTTAAAATATTCCATATATATATACTTTTTCTTTAATATTTTTTATATTAAATATTACTAAGATTATTAACAAGATGTTAGAAGTCTCTGTCTTGGTTAACGCAGGCAATGCTTGTAGGTAAATAGAAAATAATTGCTCTCGTCCTTACTTAAAAGTTTTCATACAACATATGACTAATATTATTCATTTCATAAAGTATCTTGGCAGGCCATTGTCAAATACAAGAACTTCATGAAGCTTTGGTGGCCCCCGCCCAGTGCCAGATAGTTAGGGTTAGACACATGCACATATCTCTTGCAAGTAATTTCATCCTGAATCTGCTGATTGTTATATTAAACTTAAACGAAATTATTTCAATGATATTGTTAACCTGCAAGCTATACAATTTCCATAATACAAAAAATTTTACATTACAAATAAGAATAATCAGAACAATTGATATGATAATACAAATTGCAGATATAAGCCTTATTAGCACCAGCTTCAGATAACTCCGAAAAACATGTCAGTACTCGGTATCCTTTTGTTCTGAGCACCAAAAGCTTTCCCCTTGTTCTCGCAGGCAGAATTATATAAATCCAGTAGCTGTACTCGTATGTTAATCAATTAAATCATGAAAAGACGACTTTGTGAGTGTGGATCCACACCCGTTTTAATAAGCAAATTTAGTCATTTTATGGCTTAGAAGCTCCACTACCGGTTGTCGTCATGAAAGATTCACCACAACCACACTGACCTTTAGAGTTTGGATTGACAAAAATAAACTCAGATCTGACACGAGAAAAAAAAAAGCAGCAATTAAAACAAAAGCACTGAAAAGAAAGCAGCAGTTCACTTCAATAATAATAATAATCATAATAAAACAGTTGAACTAAGTAACAAAAACGAGCACAAGATGTAACTGTACACAAATTTTCATGCCACATTCAATTAAAATCTTCCTTCAGTGTTGCAGATATTTTACCCACGTAAATTCGAGATCAGAAGATCATCGATCATCACCAAACTAAGCATAACATGTGTTCTGGATGGCCTTAACCGGGTTGGCCCATTAAGACAGGCTCTCCCTTGACACTTCCCAACTCTCTTGGCTCGCCCTCGCATGCGAGCAAGACACCCTTACTCCCCTATAAATACTCCCTTCATCACCAAGCAAAGGCATCTGATCTTTATGTGTCGTTACCCTGCCGATTTCATGAGCTCACACTATAACTCAGCACTCGCGCACACACACACATATACCCCCCCCCCCCCACTTTTGCTGTAGAACACCATACTTGGGATGTCATTGTCCAACTTTGTCTCTACCTTTGCTAGCAGCGATAACCCTACAACGACCTTCACCCCTCTCAAGGGTACATATTGGGCTTGCAGCTCTCAACGGTACATGCCTGACAGGGCACTAGAACGCATCATTCTGGGTGAGACTGATGAGCAGACAACAACCGTAGGAGCGGCCATAACCCTCGAGCTGAAAGGAAGGTTAATCAAGCTGCTCAGTGATAATAAGGACCTCTTCGCCTGGACGCCATCTGATATGCCCGACATCAACTCCGAAGTCTGCTGCCATAGGTTGTCGGTTGACCCCAAAGCAAAACCAGTCGCCCAGAAGAAAAGGAAGTTTGGCCCTGATTACCAGAAAATCATTGATGCAGAAGAAAAGAGACTCTACGATGCCGGTTTCATCAGAGAAATAAACTACACCACTTTGCTAGCCAACCCGGTGCTGGTAAAAAAGCCAAGTGGGGCGTGGAGGATGTGCGTGGACTACAAAAACCTGAACAAGGTATGCTCCAAAAAAGCCTACCCTTTCCTAAGCATCGACCAACTGGTAGACAGTGCCTCCGGTTTCAAAATGCTTTCTTTTATGGATGCATATTTCGGCTGCAACCAAATCCCGTTGCTCAAAAAGGACAAAGACAAAACAACCTTCATCATACAAAATGCATCCTTATATTGAGCTTTCATTATTTATCTGGTTGGTATGCCAACCTTTTATTTTCTAATCAGACATTATACTCGCCTTGTTGTATGCTGAACTTTTATTTGTAATGGAAAGTTAGTTCTTGCTAGTTGAATCTTGACTTGTACTTGCCTTGTTTATGTATGGTTGTTATACGAATTTGTCCGCATTGCGCTTTTGACTGGTTTTGTGAGTGAAAGGTACTAGTTTCGCGACGTTCACTGGGGATGAAAACTTTCTCGTGTGTTAGACGTTCACTGGGGGTGAAAACCTTCCCAAGAGAAACGTTTGGCGAGGGTGAAAACCTTCCCGGGTGTTGGACGTTCACTGGGGATGAAAACCTTCCCAAGAGAAACGTAGGTAACACAAATTCACGCCATACTTCATCAAAAGCTTCATTTAATAATGCATATTCTCACCCTGACAAGATATCTGAGATTTGGAAAATAACAAACTACCCCAAAACAGGAGGGGCAAAATAGTTTCTTCACATGCCGATCAATGCCCGAATATACTATTCCGAAATGGAAGCATGAAGTTAGCCAATGTAACATCCCGATATTTGTACTCCAAATCATTATACAGAAGAGATATGAATAAAATTTTAGTTAAGCAATGTTTAAAAATAATATAATATAAAATAATAAATATGTTTTCACCTAACAGCTTAAGTATTCTGAAAAGTTTAATTTTCATGTTTTAAACCCTAAAAAAAAGGGCTCTTAGTGTGCTGGACCTGTACATAATCCAAGCTTCAATACTATAAGACTATTGGCATAAGGGAGTGTGTTAAGGAATAATATAAAATAATAAATGTGTCTTTATCTCAGTTAAAATTTTTAGGTTGAATTGGTTCTTCCTTACAAAGAATGTTTAAAGTGTTGAAATTGTAGGAACTTAGATAAAAAAGGAGACAAAGAGAGAACCATGTCTGAATAATAGAATATAATGTTGATATATGGTGAGTAATAGTTAGGAACCCATGAATGAAAGAGCCGAGAGATAGAATGGAAGAGAGAAAGAACGATCATTCTAACTTTGATATATGCTAGTATCAAGAATGATCGTTTACGGGATGGGAAGTTGCCACTGCCCGCTAATATGATCGACTGCATCTAGAATGGAGATGGGGCCAAACGTGACAAACACTTTCTAACTTTTCAATTGACTACGGCAATTTTTTAACTTTCTTTATAGTGATTATCTTTATGAAATGATGAATTTCTCCATCCAAAAGAAACCAATAGGATTGGTATAATTTATTAAGATTGAGACAAGAAAATTAATAATCTATTTTGGTCTAGATGGAGCAGTTTTGAGACAAAATATTAAGATGCCTGTTTCCCAATATATGAAATTGTTTATAAAGAGATTTCCTCACCCCATTTCCATGACAAGCACTATAAACAAAAGAAAAATACAAGTTGAACATAAAGAAGGGTTGAAGAAAATACTTACCTCAGTTTGTCATCTACGAAATCCATTTTAGTTCCAATGACATGCATAAGGGCCTTTGGATCAATCAACATCTTAACACCCTTATCCTCAACCAACTCATCAAATTTTCCTTTTTCATCTGTCAAAGCAACAGTAAGTCTAAGCTCAAAAAATCATAATGCATCCATCTCCAGCTCAACACAATTGAGAGGAATAATCAGTAGACAAAAATAACAAATGGTCAACAGGATCAAATTTTTTCAATGTTACTCATATTTGGGACATGACATTTTCGTACGAAAATAGATTTGCACCGAACCAAAGGTCATCTTTGAGTTGTACGTGTACCTATTTACCTTAGTATTTGACTTACATCAATGCATGCTCTTGACTGATGATATATTCATACTTAATGAGTCAAGAGAAGGAGTAACTTCTAAACTCTGAGTTAAGTAGGAGTAAGACAAAGGAGTATATAGAATACAAGTTTCATGAGACACGATTTAACAATGTTTTGGAGGTAAAATAAGACTAGAGTTAGCAATGTTTTGATAGATCTCAATGATGCTGACTGATCCATGTAGCAGACTTCACCAAATGGATTAAAGCCTTCTTGAAGTTGTTACTTAGCTTCTTAAGGTTCATTAATCATTCTATTACTGGGGCTACTTCCTCATTGACAAACTTCAAGGTGCGATTTATTTTATCATCTCAAATGTATTATTCCAATTTTACTACCTCACAAAGTTCTTAGTTCAGAAGATAATGAATTGAGCCCTTGTATATGCAACCAACAGCAGAAAGTGAACAGAAAAATATAGAAGACAGCAACAAGAAAACCATACTCCAAATCACCAATTCATCTAGTTTCAGATTGTAATAAGATATGAGTAAAGACAATAGCTAGAATCTAGCCGAAGCTAAATCAGTTATGATCAACCATTTTCCTAAGCTATATACCTCAGGGATTCCAAAACGAAAAAATCATAACTAATTCAGCTAAATTAAGAAAACAACATAAATTGGTAACTAATTAAATGAATATATACATATTTCTATCAAACACGGATAATAGATGATTACAATTTACAAAGAGTGTGTGAGGGAGAGACCTGCGTAATTGAGGGTGTAGGATAAGCCGTTACAACCGCGAGCCTTGACTCCGAGCTTCAAGAAGGGCCTCTGACGCTGATGTAACAACTGCCGTATTCGCGAGGCAGCTGCGTCAGTTAACGTAACGGCTTGACGTCGCGCCGCCGTCCCCATCTTCTCCGCTGCCGCGGCCATCGCCTTCGAAGCCATTGGTTCCACGTTTATTGTGCAATTCCTTGAATTTGAAGATGCACCGTCTCTGTCCTGTTCTATCCCTTAGCTGTTAGGATAATTTTGTCATTTCATTTGTTTCCGTTAAGTGCGTGGCCACCACGCTGTGACCGAGCTACACGTGTAGAACATTCGGGAATAAACCTATGTGCTCATGTAGTCATGTGGCCGAATATCACACAAGTTCGAGTCTTCCTTGAGTCGAATTGATCAATGAATTTGTAATTAAAAGTAATTTAATTCATGTCAAATTTGAATTAAACTAATTGTCATTTCTTTTATTTTTTAATGCAAGAATAAAATTAAATTTTGATACTTAATTGTATAATGATGCATGGATATTAAAAAAAAAAATCGTATATTACCATTTAAATAGAGCTATTAAACAGTTAAACACACATATATGAATATAAGTTTAAACCATCATAAAGATCTGATCGAGTGTTCTTGTAGGATCCTTATTAAATTTGTCACTTACCATTGGATATACATTATTATTAAACTTTGTTAATCTTTATGTGGAGACCTGTTTTTTTTTTATTATTAAATTTACATAGTGATTATGAGTTTTTATTTCTCCAAACTTTAGTATAATCAGACAAATTCATTCAAATATAGTATTATTTTTTTTGGTAAACAAATACAGCATTTTTTTAATAAGATAAATTTTGTACAAAAAAAACTCATATGATACTGATTTAGTGTTAGAAGATAACTTCTATGACTTTAGCATTCTATTATATGATATAAGATTTTAATGTTTCTAAGTAAATATAGATAAGTTATTTATATTCACTCCTAAAATACGATATTATTTTAGATTGAAAGACTAAAAAATTATTATAATTCTGAAATAAATTATAATTTAGAGTTATAAATTATAATCATAAAAATATATTAATTTTTGTCCCAAAATGACATCATTTTAAACTTAATATAGATAACTTGATAACTTATTTATATTGACTGCAGAAAAAATGAACTCATATGCTATACGTTGTCACACTAACACTACTTGGTATTAAAAACTATAAGATATTATACAATCAGGTTTTTTATGATCCCGCCCGTTCTGTTTTATTATGCATATCAAACATATTCTTAGGTAAAAATAAAAATAAAAATTATATTTATTTCATTTTGCATGAGATAACTAAATTTTCTACACATATAAAAGATTGATGAATCTCACTTCTTCTTTTTTTCTCTCCTCTTATTTATGGGTCTCACTTGCAATCTTATTTTTACAACATAACCTAACTACTTTTTTACAACATAAGAAAATTATTTCTCAAAAAAGTAATAATAAATGGAGATAAAGATTAAAAAATTAATTATTTTTTTAATCCAACGACTTTAACTGAATAAACTCAATTTTTTGTCCAAATGGTTTAGTTTGAATTAACTAAAAATATTTAAAAATTAAATCAAACCATTTGATGTATTTATTATTATTATTGTTATCATTATTATTTTCTCACCCCACCCAGACTGATCTATAAAACTGTATTCCCAGAGTGCTAAGCAAGTCCACTCGTCAAGACTCCCAAGTCCTAATCAGTCGCGGTCGATGTTATCGAAAAAAGACATGCATGTTCTGTATACAACAAAACAAAGAGCGCCAGAAAATTATTTTGTAAATTTAGTTTAGATAAGTTTTATACAATATATTATAAGGAAAAGTGTATGATATTTTAAAAGATATAAAGTTATGTTATTTTTTTTTTTTATAACAAAAGTTATGTTATTTTAAGAGAGAGAGAAAGAGATAGACAAAAGAGGTGAGAGAATTGACAAAAAAATAAAGGTGTGAGTCCTACCTCTTTGTGAGAGTGAAAAGATATAAGTTGTGTCATTTAAACGGATAAATATTTTTCCCTATATTATATATATATGGGTTTATTTTTTCTACAGTGAGCCCAAAACGACGTCATTTTGAAGCGAAAATTAAGGTATTTTTGTAATTATAATTAATTTCAGGGTTATAACAATCTTTTTCATTTTAATTTTTAAATCCAAAACGACGTCATTTTGAGTGTGAATGTAGATAACGTATCTACATTCACTTTAGAAACATTATATATATATATATATAGGGAAATACTACTCTCATTTTACATGAGGTAGTTATCTTCTTTTCTCTCACTTCGAAAATCGTACCCCTTCTCTTTTCTTTTTCTTTTTTGCTTTTAAATAGCGGGCCCTACTTGAATTCTCTCTGTAACATGAGATAACTACTCTCATGTTACATGAGAGTAATATTATCCATATAAATATATATAACGAGTTATTAATCTTATGTAACAAGATAGATATCTTATGTGGATAAAATAAAGTCGTTGGCTCATAATTTTTAAAAAAGAAATGAAAAAAAGGGAACAGATTCAATTACTATCAAAAAAGTTTATTATTCTTATAGTTATAATCAATTTAATCATCATTTATTTTCGTCAATTTAACGGTTATAATCTATTGAAAATTAATAATATTTATTGTGTCATATCTATTAATTAATTATTAATTACCAATAGATTATAACCGTTTGATTGACGAAAATCAATGGTGATTAAATTGGTTGTAAGAGTGTAAATTTTTTAATTGTAAATATATCTTATCCCAAGAAAAAATGGACATAAGATCCCATGAATGTGAAATATAAGACAATTACCTTAGGTGACATAAGACAACTATTTTCCATATATTATACAAAAAAATATTTTCGCAGTTAATGCAAATAAGTTATCTGCATTTACTTTCAAAACGACGTCGTTTTGGAATTAAAATATTAGAAATGACGTCGTTTTGGAATTGAAAGATTAAAAAATTATAATTTTAAAGACTATAATAATCCTAAAATAAATTAAAATTATAAAAATATCATAATTTTTGTCCCAAAATAACATCGTATTGAACTTAGTGGAAATAAATTATCTCCGTTAACAAAAGAAAAAACAAACTCTATATTATATGGCTCTTTTCTATGAGGTGATACCAAAAATAAAAAATTTAATGAAGTAAGTGTGCTTTGCACTTACAGATTTACTGCGACATATAATTAAAATCTAGAAAGAAGAAAAAAAAAAAAAAGATTGAAAAACCCTGACCGAATATTAGGGGTTTCCAATTTCCAATTCTGTCCTGTCTGCAGCATATGTTCATGAAAGGCACCTCACTACAAAACACCTTGCGGACCATTTTCATTTTAATTATCAACAAAAAAAAAAACTGACAGCTAAGAAGCAAGAAAGTGCTTCTTCTGAACAAAAACACATCCTCCATTTCCACGGTGAGGAGATTCTCTCTTCAACTTTCTCAGTTCTCTCTTCTTCTTACCTCTGAAATGTTGTGCATTTCATTTTCCTCTTTTGATCCTTCCAATTAACTCAGTGTTTACATTGTGGCTCTTGTTTTTTGTTGGTTTTCAGCTTCATTATCTACCAATTGTGTATTTCGTTCACTTTCATTAGTACTGCTAATACTATAACATACGTTACGAACTACCCTCTAGCAGTCCCAGTCCCAGTCCCAGTGTAGTGTAGTTCATTAATTTATTTCGCTCAGGCCCTAATATTTTGGGGATTCTTTTTTGTTTTACTTTGTTTTTATTATTTTTTCAATGAACAGGTTTTGAAAGAAAGAATTCAGGTCGAATTGCAACTTTTTTCTTACATACATATCAGTACTCACGAGTTTGGATACTATAAAAATGGCAACATGTTTTACACCTTCGAATGCTAGAAATTCAGCAGGGGTGCTGGCTGTTGTTGGAGGAAGAACATTGGCTGAGAATCACTTTAATAGATCATGTTTCTTGAAAATTCATGAAAACAAGTATGGATTTTCGGGTGGCAACAGAAAGTATGGTTTGTTTCAAGTGAAGTGTTCAGGTTCTCCCAATTCCCACAGCATCAGTCCGTATCATAATAAGGACCCTTTTCTAGATCTACACCCTGAGGTGTCAATGCTTAGAGGAGAAGGAAGCAGTGCATTGAACAGCCCGAGAACAAGAAAGGATATTTCAGGTGGAAATGTTGCTGAAAGCTTGGAAGCCACGTCCACTCCAAGTAATTACAATGAAGCAAAGATCAAAGTCATTGGTGTAGGTGGTGGTGGGTCAAACGCGGTCAATCGCATGATAGAGAGCTCCATGAACGGTGTGGAGTTCTGGATTGTTAATACTGATGTTCAAGCTTTGAGAATGTCACCTGTCATTCCTGGGAACTGTTTGCAAATCGGTCAAGAGCTTACGCGAGGTCTTGGCGCTGGTGGTAACCCTGAGATTGGCATGAATGCTGCCAAAGAAAGCAAGGAATCAATTCAAGAGGCTGTTTATGGAGCTGATATGGTCTTTGTTACAGTATGTTCAACCACTTTTCTTCAATTATAGCTTCTGCAGATTACATTACAGTTTTGCATTATGAATTTTATTTTTGGTATACTTCTAAACATTACGCCAGTTGACATGATTTATATGATCTGTTATAAATACCAAAATATTTGTTTGTAAAATCATAACTCAGAGTAGGATAGGGTAATATATACTTTGATAGAAAAATAAAGGATATGGTAATATACTGTGCAAGGAGGAATAGGCCACAATATTCTGCAAAGAAGTTATCACGGAAGTACACCTGAGGGCGTACACTGGTGTGGTGTAAATTTTTATTTAGCTCATTGTGAAGTTTTGCACTTTTCGCCTGCTGCCTGTACATTTGCTATAGTGGTATTCAAGTGCATGATCTGAGTCACCAGACCTTCATACCTTAGCATATATTGTTTATCTGTCAACTCATACGAATCATCCCTTTGGTCTTTTGCATTTCTCGGTGCTGCTAAAATTTGAGGGTATCTAAATTGTAACTAATGGATCTTTATCACATTCATTTTTCGATGTATGCTCTTAAATATCGTAGGACTGTTGGTTCGTTTTGTTGAGGGGGAACATTAATACGGGATGAAATAGAGGTTTATACTACCAAAAGAAAAGCGTCAACAATGTCAGGTTATCTGTCACTCCACACTCCTTCCCTTACATAAAAAGAATCTCAGCACGTCCCGTGTCAAAACTGATAAAACTTCTTAGAATAAACTGCAACATCTCGTATAATAATATAGCTTTTAGGTATGTAAAAAACTGCCTTGTACATCAACCACCGTACGACATAGTTGCTGGCAATTGGCTTCTCCACTTTCATTGGAAGCTATCATTTTACGATAAAAGGCACTTTGTCATTCTTTCATTTCTTTGTCCAAAAAATAAATTTCATGACGGGCTGCTACCCTTAGATTGTCAACTTATCTGAAAATTGCTATGAAGATATCATTTTCCTGGGATGTTGCTTTGAAATTATAAAATTTATGCCTTTTTTTAAGTAAGGAATTTACAATTTCAAATACTGTGATGGGCTGACACTTTTAGGTATATACCTAGATATTATAAAATCAAAATTTATTCTAATTTTAAAAATAATAAATGCTAGTGCTATATGTGATATTCTGAGAGATTTATAGCCTTCGAGGGGACAATTTTCGTAAACAGATATGAGATATGTATTTTATTTGGAATTTTACCATCAGTGAAGATATAAGATGATAACACAAATGGAAAAAGTATTGGAAATATTTGTCACTATTATGTTGTTGAAGTTCAAAATTTAGCTTATTAGGTTATAATATAAAAAAATTGAAATCTATGCAATTGCAAATTGCATGTATGCGATTGCTTTTTCATAAATTTTAGGAGGAAGATTATTAAAACATATATAAAATTCCAGTCTTTATCATTTTGAATTTTGATATACTAATTAATGCCTACACGAAATGAGGAACCAGCAGTTCTTGATCTTTGAAATCTTCGAATATGTAGATTTTTTGAAATTGGGAATGGGCATGCTTGCAATTCTACTAAATTGTTCATTATTGGTATATTTTGGTAAACTTGAGAATTAAAATTCATTTGTGCAGGCTGGAATGGGTGGAGGAACTGGCACTGGTGGAGCTCCAGTTATTGCTGGTATCACAAAGTCAATGGGTATACTGACTGTTGGTATTGTCACAACCCCTTTCTCATTTGAAGGACGAAGGAGGGCAGTTCAAGCGCAAGAAGGAATTGCAGCCTTAAGAGATAATGTTGATACGCTGATAGTTATTCCAAATGACAAGCTGTTGACTGCAGTTTCTCAATCTACCCCTGTAACTGAAGCATTTAATCTGGCTGATGATATTCTTCGACAAGGTGTTCGTGGCATTTCTGATATTATTACGGTATGGAATCATAAAGATCTTTGAACATGAACGAGTACCTTCCTGTTGTTACTTTGTTCATTCTTTTTTCCATCAAATTTTGATTGTAAAAGTGTAAAAGGAAAAGGATGAATGAAAAAGGGAACCTTAAGTATGTTGTTTCCTTTATTTGTTTTGACAATCCAATAGTTCCTACCTGATTCACTTGTGGGTGTTAAATTGTTTGATATGTCGGTTCAAAATTGTGTGTTGCCATTACTTTATTTTCTAGAATTCATTTTTTTTTTTTTGTTATCAATTTTGGATGCATGTAGACATAACATACTGTGGCTCTCCCACTAATAAGATGTCCTGATTATACATTGCCCATGGTTTAAAGCTGATGATGTGTGTCTGTAAAATCATTAATGCTCATTAACTGTTGGGAGGAGGAGTTCTTAACTGCTCTCAACCCCCAACCGGATTAGTCCTAAAGGATGAACTGGTTAGTAGAAATACTAAAAAAAACAAAATCATTAATGCTCATTAATTTTATTAATTGATTGCAGATACCAGGATTGGTGAATGTAGACTTTGCCGATGTTCGAGCTATAATGGCCAATGCTGGTTCTTCACTTATGGGGATAGGAACTGCAACTGGTATGTATGGAAACTGCAAATGGGGCTGCACTGCTACTCCTGAATCCTGATATTTTAATTGACCCAAATAATTACTCTGAAACCTCTGTTTTGCTTAATGAAAGTTGTATAATACATGTAGAGGGTAGTATGATACTCAAACTATAATACTATATATGTAGAAGGACAGCCGTATATATAAACTTACCATATGGTGTGCATATGTATACGCGAAGGATTGTACAACCAAAATTGTTTTATATGCATACGTAGCAAATCCAAACAATGCAATTTAAAGGTTGTAAAATTAACTCTCTCGAGTCTTGCCACACTGTAAAGTTCTGGAGAAGTACACACATTGATGGGGAATATGCTTTAATGGTCCTCAAAAATAAAATCTTACCTCTACCACACTTTCTGTTAACTTATTAATTATTAGAGTATAAATATATTATCCTTTGATTGGCACCTCTCTTTATACGGGGAAGAGCACATTCTTACCATGGTTACATATATTATTGAGATTTTGAAATTTATCTGGTGGCTTCTTTTTGTGTTGAAGGGAAAACAAGGGCAAGAGATGCTGCATTAAATGCTATTCAGTCGCCTTTACTAGATATTGGTATAGAGAGGGCTACTGGAATTGTATGGAACATAACTGGTGGAAGTGATCTGACCCTGTTTGAGGTAGCTAGCTATCCCTCTGGCGCTTCAGCTTTAACTTCGCTAAATATTTGTTTCATCTGTGCCCATGATATTTCTTTCTCTCTTTTTTTCTTCTTCTTTTAAATTCCTTCATTTTTTCCTCTGTTCCTTTGGAATTTGGATCATCTAAGGGCTATGGGAAATTGGTAGGAGCAACATGTGATGAATTAAGTTAGGATTTTTTCCCCCTTACATCCATGTGCCAAATTCCAATGGAACAGTTTCTTACATGATTGAGGTAGTTTTCCATGGACATGATATTTAAGCAAGGGTAGAAAATCTGAGGTTTATAAAATAATTTGTGAAAGACATCCAGCTCTGTCCAGCAATCCAGTTACTATAATTCTATTGTCTTACTTTCCTGACAAGCAATTCATGAACTTGGTTTTTGCTGCAAGCAAATGTTTGTTGGAGGCATACTTAGGCATCCATGCTGGGAAGCAAATAAATAAAATGAACTAGCCTTCTGTTGTTCTGAATTCTAAATAGCTACCTACTTCATGATCTGCTATCTATTATATTCATCATACTCTTTCTATTTAAGATGGTCCTTTAGTATGCTATAGCTTTTAATATTATCCTTTACAGGTTAATGCTGCGGCAGAAGTTATATATGACCTTGTGGACCCCACTGCTAATTTGATATTTGGAGCAGTAATAGATCCATCGCTCAGTGGTCAAGTAAGTTAAACTACGTAAACTCTTAAATATTATTTATATGAACTTCTATATGTTATGTCAATATTCCTTCGGAAATGAATTGGGCAACATCATCCCAGTCTAGCGTGTTCAAGACGCAGTCGATATACTGCAATCATTCCTGGATATAAAAGTCGGTATGAATGTGCTAACCAATAAGCAATTCATAAATAATTTTAAAATGGTTTCACTATAAGTTATCTTTATAAATGACTAGTCAGCCACCAATTTGAAATTCTAAATTCTTTAGCATATTCCCCTCATTCTGTTGTGTTATTTTTGTTAAATAAATATAACTTGTAGCTTTTAAAAGATCATCCAACCCAAGTAGCCACATTTATTAAGTCATCAGAAGAAGAAAGTGTCCTACTATCATGTTGTGTAACTCAACCTGTGAGTAATATTTATATAAAAGAACCAAAGATAATAATTGGTTGATTCGTAACTGGATCAAGATTAAATCACCATAAATAACATGTTTTTGAATACATAAACATGTATAGTGGCTAAAACCTTTTGTTTCTTTCTAGGAAGCACAGACTCCGTACCCATATTGGACACTTATGTACACTTCATGAACTCCCGACCTGCATTTTGCAATTTTTACTTTTATTTTTGTTTTTAATTTTTATACCATTACATATGGAAATACTACAATAATTAGACAAATGATACTATTTTACTATATCTACAATAACTAATGCTAACTCTTAAAACATTGATTCTGTCATTTAAGATTTGTACATTTTATATGTTTTTCTATAGTTGTGTCGTGTTCTATAATTTCAAAACTTGTCATGTCTCCATATCTATATTATACTGTATCCAGGTCCCATGTTATATCCGTACTTCCTAGGTTTCTGTTATGTTGCTGGCATTTAGGGTTGAATGCTCTTTAAACTACCATTTCTCAAAATTAGTTTATTTATTTGAATATATAGTATAATCGGCATGGTGAACCATGTCATTTGGTTTCATATAGGTAAGCATAACGTTGATTGCAACTGGATTTAAGCGTCAAGAGGAAAGTGAAGGGAGGCCCGTACAGGTATGATTAACTCAACCACCTCTCCCCTTCCTCTGTGATGTGCCCATAATTCTGGTTTTTGTCCAAAATGCAGGCCAGTCAACTCACACACGGAGATACCATTGGTATCAATAGAAGATCTTCCTCTTTCACTGATGGTGGTTTGGTTGAGATCCCCGAATTCTTAAAGAAGAAAGGGCGTTCTCGCTATCCAAGAGCTTAATACTCATTTCCTCAACTTCTTTAATCCCATACATTTCTTCACAATTGCATCAATTTTTATGGATACAAATAACATCGGTCTAGGTATTAGGTCCCCGTTTTGCCGTTTGTTAGTATTTTAGGTCCGTATTGTGCATACAGCTGTTCATGAAAGCCAAGTACTTTCAAAACTGTTTTAAGTTGAGGCTTGTTTGTTGGCATATTTGAATAAGTAGCTTGTATTTTTGTACAGAGAATATATCAGTAATGGTCAGGGCTTATTATAGATGCTTGGCTCGTTACCATCACTTGAAGATTATGATATGACAACCGAAACCGAGTACTCTAAACCACAGGCTTATAAGAATTCGTGTCCATGACTTTTTTTTCTTCTTTGTCCCAAAGGCAAAACCAAGAGCGTTTCAACATTCTCATAAGCCAGGAGAATCTGCCAACCAACAGACGTAACACAAGTGGGTCTGCAATAAAATTTCCCAACCTCGTTACTGATAATATCACGAATTATGACATCCAACTCCCTTGTCCCGTTTAAAATTATGGGCTTTTGATTAGGGTTCTCACTTTATAATAAGTTATATGAGTATGGTTTGATTAAGTTTTCAGTCCTTAAATATCTACTTTATGATTATTTTAGTTTATCAAATTATATTTAATGCTGTCTTTATATGGATTTTCCGGTCAAATTAGTTTGTTAAAAATTGTAGTGTCATGTTGAAAACTTCATTTTTGTGTGTTTCAGCTGGATCTGATAAATATCATCGTTCAAAACCAACCCGAGTCGGTCGAGTGGACTCAAAATCCTAACAAGATTCTCAAAATTTGATTTAAAAAATTCAGAAAGCTGGTCCTACACCGGTTAACCCATCCGAATCCGGTTGAATTGGTCCTTTTCCTATTCACAATTGAAATTCACCAAATATTTATCCTTTTAAATAACACAATTTATATCATTTCACTCTCACAAAGAGGTGAGACTTACACTTTTATTTTTTTTTTGTCAACTCTCTCACTTCCTTTGTCTATCTCTTTCTCTCTCTTAAAATGACACAATTTTACATCCTTTAAAACGACACAATTTTACATCCTTTAAAATGACATACACTTTATCCTTTGTTTAATATCAAATAAGTAACTATTTGTAATATAATAAAGCTTAAATTTATAATAAATTTTTTTATCTCTTTGTTTTTTACTTATTTAATATTAGATTAAAATAAGAATTTGATGTTTGTCCTTTTAAAGGACATAAATTATGTCATTTTAGAATAAAGATAGATACGATCAAATATTTTATATCATTTAAAATGACAAATATTTTTCCTATAAAATAAAGGGTTCGCTTTTTCTGCCGTTACTGCAGATAACTAATCTGCAGTAAGCCCAATACGACGTCGTTTCGGAACAGAAATCATGGTGTTTTTGTAATTTTAATTTATTCCAGAGTTATTATAATCTTTATAATTATAATTTTGTAATCTTTCAATCCCAAAACGACGTCGTTTTGAAAATAAATGCAGATAATTTATCTGCATTAACTGTGAAAATATTTTTTCCTTAAAAATAAATTATACAAATTTCTAAGAAGTCAAGTCAAAAAATTTGGCCACATCCATAATCACATTGGCTGAACACTTCCAAAGTTCTATTCCTAAATTTTCGTCTGAACCCACGTCAATTTGATTCCAATATCTCGCAGGGCCTAACAAAAACACACCATGTGATGTGGAGCGCAAGAATATGGTCCACCACACATTCGTATCAAAGCTTCATCTCGAGTTAACTGTTGATTGACAAAGGGACTTGATCCCCTTGTCAGTCTCAGTTTCCAAAATAAAACTCATTACATCTCAATTTAAAGCATTACGTTTACGCCCCCTAAAAAAAATGCATTGATCTTAGTATGAGATATTTACAATAAGGTTTGATTATCCTCACATGACAAATTATCTAATGCAACACACACAAAAGTGAGTGAGATTTATTAAAGAAAAAAGAAAAAAAATGGGTCTCACCTGTTTTTTTTGTGTTACATGAGATAAAATTGTATCATGCAACATAAGAAAAATATTTACCATATAATAATATCAGTTTATTAATACAAAATGTTGAAATTATATATTGATAGGTTTGTAATCTAACTACAAAAAACCAATTTTAAATATTTATAGACGCATACAGTACTCCAATTGATATAATTAAAATTATAGTGTAACCATTATTTACTTATAATAAAATCAAAATATGTACCTTCATCCTTTTAGATTAACAAAAGAACGTTAATTTTTTTACCAAAAAACAAGAGAACATTAGATTGGATTAAATATTATTTTTAGTAGAAAAAAATTCTACATGTTAGGGTTCGGTTGAAAATAAATGAAAAAATGAAATCTAATCTAAAAATCATATGTATTCTCATTTCTCAGGTCATGAAATGATAATAATTTTTACAAAAAATTTACTATAATAAGAAAATATCAATTTACCATAAACTATTTTTATTTAATATTTTTTAAATAAAAATATTACAAAAAATTAAGTAAAAAACCTCAAGTAATCTAATTACAGTTTTCACTATTACCCAAGCTCGGACAGTTCTTTCATTTTTTTAGATGGATCCACCTTTTGTGAGTAATAGACAAGCATAATGATTTAATAAGAGAAATTAAAATAGATAATTGTTTACCAAAAAAAAAAATAGATAATTAAATGTCACCAATTGGATTTTCTTTTCGGGGGATACAACCTGGGATATTTTATTTGCAAGTTGCTTGTAACTAATGGACAAAAGGATACGATTGACTAACAGAATAAATGTTGAAACAACTTATTGTAAGCTGCTCTCTCTATCTCCTTTTATATATATATATATATATATATATATATATATATATATATATATATATATATATATATAACAAGATCATTTAGTGTCAAATTAAAAATTTAACACATAATCTAATGGCTGTTAGATCAAGGCAAGATTAACTACTCTCAGATAAGATATCAAATTTTTTATTTGACACCGATATCAAATGATCTTGTTCCTATATATATATATATATATTCTCAACTCTAAAACAACTCGTTTTAGGATTAAAATTTATTTATTAAAAATCTATCTTATATTCCTATAAAATATAATAATAAATGTAAGATATTGATGTTCAACAAATATAATCATAGAGTCATCAAGTCATTAATGTTTTCAACTAAATATCTTCCATAGCCTTGTCTAATCATATATACTATTAAAAAAGAGATATGTACCATATGTAATCACTAATATCATAATCGAGACATGCATATAACCATCTAAAACAAGAAACTGGTGCAATTGTTATTTTAAAGGGAAAATAAGAATGGTTTTGCTCGATCAAATTAATCGATTAATAGATGAAATTTAAAAAAAAATAAAAAATTATATAAAAAAATACTTTAACGACCGCACAAAAATAAACAACCCCCTCCGTAAAAGAAATTATGTTCGGGTATTCAAAAGAGTAGGGTGTCTCATTAAAAACATGGAACAATATAAAGTATTCAAATTTTTTTTTTTAAAATAATGAAAATGATTGTAATAAAAATAAAAATCAGACCAACCAATATCACTGGTTGAGAGCCAAGATTCATGTATAGTTACGCATGCAGATCAACATCAACCTCACAATCCTCCAAAAATCAATCCAAGGAATCCCACTGGCCTCACTCCCTTTTTCTTTTTCTTTCTTTTTTTCATTTCATTTTGGTATTTTTCAGTAGTCAGCAAGTTAGAACTAAACCACACATAATAGAATCCCATATCAAACAAGACACGTACGTTTGTCACTTACCATAAAAAAAAGAGACTCTTGTGGGCGACGTGTAAACTAACATCCCACCCATTCCATCCCCTATGCTTTATTCCCCACTCTTCTTTTTCAAATCTGCTCTACACAACAAGATATCAACACACATCACACAGAAAACAAGACCACTCACCAATCCTCTGCTCTCTCTCTCTCTCTGCATGGAAGAAAACAACAACCCTTTCATGACTCACCAATCCTCTTCTGAATCTGATGACCACATTCCTTCTCAGCCATTGGACTTAAACAAACCCCACCCATCTAAAGATTTCAACATGGAGGAGCAAGAACAAGAAGGCCCCTTCAGCTATGATGATAGTGATAAAGATGTTACAAAAAAACCATCTTCTTCAAAAACCCTTCTCTGCAACAAGGAGAAAATAACAATGCATGATGAGTTGGTTTCGGTTTCAGCAGTGGATGTTGAGAAAGAAGGTATTGTGCCTGAGGCCATGGGAGAGGATAGTGGACGAGAGAGGCTGAAGAGGCATGGAGTTGAAGTAGCTGGAATGGTTTTGATTCCTGATATATGGGGTCAAGAGGAACTGTTGAAGGATTGGATTGATTGCACTGCATTTGATGCTCCTATAGTTCCAAGCAGGATTACGATGGCACGAGAGGCTTTGGTTCAAGAGAGTACAAGAGCCAACGCTGCTGGACTACGAATAGAGAACAGGTGTTAGAATTTTACATTTCTGTAATTCAGTTTAACGACAAATCATATGTTGATAATGGGTGGTTTTATTAATCCTGATCTTTATTTATATAATGCTTATTTTTTTGGTTAAGAATTTGATTTTCGTGGTTGTTGATTATACATTTGAAAACATAGCCAACATTTTGGAAATAAAAATGTATGAGAAAGTTCCTACATTTATATTTATGTTTACCGAATACTTTCAGCTCTCATGAATTTTGTTTGTTTGTTCAATCAATTTCCCAAATGTTTCTCCCTTATTTCCACCAAACTTCGACCATAAAATGTCAAATTCGAAGCTTTCAATGCTTAATAATGTTCAGCCTCTGGACAAACAATTCTCGTAGTTTATTAAAAAAAAAAAAAAAAAAAAAAAACGAAAAAACTCTTAGTTCAGATCAAAAGAAAATTTCTCGTATTCTTTAGTGATTAATCAATTCTAACTGGCAGCATACACGATTTCGACAAATGCTAACAATTTTATGTCAAAATGCCAAGGAAGCATTCGCATATTAACCTTAATGGACATCTAACTTTATAAGGATCAACATTGTTATTTATGATACTCATATCTTATGCACTAGTCCTTCATGTGTTGTATATATTGGCCTTCACAAATGACTTACCGGGGGTATATTAGTGATTAGTGAGTATCCTTCCTTTTCATTCCGTATCTATCAATAGGGCTATAGCTGAAGTAATAGGGCAAATTGAAACTAGTAAGTAGGGGTGTTAACGAGCCGAGTTTGTGTTCAAATGTGTCAGACTGGCCTTAGCCTGTTACCTATTACGAATATAATATCAGCCTGTGGCCTGACTCATTTACAAAAGATAAAAGCCTTGTTTAGCCTATTAGCCTGTTTAAAAAAAATAAGACAACAAAAATTTATCCAAACAAAATATACAATCAACAACACTAGTAATTCCATAAATATTCATAAATTTAATGTATATCCAAATAGCATAATATAAAACAAAATCATTTAAAAAGTCTGTTTAATTAATAAAATGGAATGAAATGAATTGAGAAGAGAGAGAGGGCTATCACAAGTAGTATAAAAAAAAAAATAATATATTAGGCAAGCCTGAGAGGCTCTAAGGCCGAGCTTTTGAATTGGAGCCTGAGGCCTTTTTATTAAACGAGCTTTTATACAAGTCCAAGCCTGAGTCCAACAATCAATTTTAGACATGTAAGCTCAGGCCTTCACGAGCCGAGCCAAAGGCCCCTGGCTCGTTTAGCACCCCTACTAGTAAGCATACTAATTCACTCTAGGCTAAGTAATTTTTTGAGCAATTCTTGAACAAAAATGTAAAGTTTAGTTGACGGTAATTACGATTTACAGTCACACTCCTGACTTCCCTAAAAAATACAACATTACATATCTGTTTTAAATTATTAATAAATATATTTAAGAGAAAAGAAAAAGAATATAAGGATGCCTGCATATCTAGCATTTCTACTATTATACTCCACCAGTATAAATTACTGCTACTGATACAGCAAATGTGCAAAAGTCGTATCACCACTGTGATACCAGCTCCCACACCTTGATTGTCCCATCATCGCTTGCAGAGGCTAGTAGCGGCTTCTCCTATTCAGTAAGCAAGAGTAGGCAAAAAATGTTAATTAATGTCACCAATTGCAGAGAAAGTCACTGAAAGCAAAGACAATGCTGGCAAAGTAGTGTCTGAGAATCTTACCCCAGGGCTCCACTGCACAGAATTTATATCCATGTCATGGGCCTTTTCCTTCTTCAGCATCAACTTGTACAGAGGACCACCAGCCTATGTTATAAGCAAGCAGTAAAGTTTGGTCAAATTTAACCTGTTTTCTTGATAGAGTGACATGCACCTACAATCTATAAAGCTACAAACTCAAATATTTGAAAAATCTTTTTGTTCATTTTGGTCATTATTTTCCTGCACAAATGCACAATCTTATATAAGTTTGAATTTTTCAGGGACTTGGATTTCAATGTACATAAGGATTTATCCCTTAATAACAACATTACAAACGTTGAGGTTCAAAACACCCACAGGTTTTCAGACGCCAAGAAGAGCAGCTAAACAAAAAGATCTTTTTCAAGTTCACAAATATACGGAGAAAATGAGAAGGTAGATTATTATATCAAGAAAAACATTGGAAACCAGCTGCTCCAGCTCGCCAGTAACCTTGAACAATAATGCAACTATGCAAGAACATCATGCTAATCTCTTCAAAATAAAACATAGTTCAAATAAAAAATTGATAAAGTTGCAAATACAGTCGAGTATAACTGTGTAGCTGGGTGTTCTCTGCATTTAAGTTGTGTAAAAAGAAACATTTGGCATTGGTTTGTCAAGTCTTTTGCCACTCTTGTCCTAGTGATAGCAAGTACAGAGAGATCAATATATTCTAGGTTTATCCATACGTTCAAATAGCCATTAGAATCATGAAGAGTCCATGATTTAAAGTGAGTGATTCTGCACCTGGAAAAGGAAACTTGTAAACGGAATACAAAGAATCTGATGCTTATCCTTTCTGTGAACTCTTCATGAACTTAAGACTAAAATGTACGAGGATAAAACATCTCATCTGGAGAGAGTGAAAATAATTATAGAGACCCACCCAAGACTAAGGTTACCGTAGGAAGCATTACTGTTATCTAACGCTGAATGATGAGGGGAATATTCCCAATTCTATTGCAAGCAGTGTTGAAAAAACCGGATCAACCGAAAACCGTTAAACCGGTCATATAATTGGTCCGACTTTTATATTGGATCGATCAAGTAATAGAATTGATGCGAATTGGTACAACCCGGCCGGTTTTAATTTGAACCGCATGGTTCATACATTTATTTTTTTTCTAAAAAAAGAAAAGAAACAATGTCGTTAGGAGAGATTATCTGAACCATGGCAATAAAAAACACAGCACGAAGAAGAAAAGGAGAAAAGGCATTGAGGTAGAGGTGGACATGGCGGTAGAGAGCATTGAGGTCAATGCCGCAGTAACCGTTGAACTCTGGGATCTTGAAGTATAAGTGCGAAGAAAGCAAATCTTGCAGCAATTCGTACAGAGAATGAAGCAGAGAGAAGCTGTGATGGCAACATGTTTTGGAGAACTGTGAGTAACCCTAGCAGTGACCACATTTGCAATCATATCTCCATTTTTTTTGGTATTTTGATGTTTCTCTCTGTATTGCTGTTTTGTTTGTGTGTGCTGGTTTGGGATTTTTTTTGTTGTGTCTCTGTTGTGAATCGGTGATTGAGTTTCAGAATTGATGGAAGTGGAAAATGGAATGAGAATGGTTTCTTTTTTGGGGTTATTATACATGGGTTTTCATTTTATCCTTTAACATAACACAACAAACTTTCCTACACTCACAACATTTTGTGGGGCCCACACTTTTTAAAACAAAAAAATAAATAAAAAATTATGGCACGCAAAACGAATCTCTATAACATTACACAATCACTTTTCCTACAACATAACTCTTATAAAACCCATTATACATTGCATAAAAGTTTTGGGTTTGGGATGAAAAAGAAGCATTAAGCATATAGCGGATTAGGAAAAAGTTAAGGGGACGTTTGGTAAAGGAAAAAAAAATTTTACCAGGGAAATACAATTACTAGGAATATGGTGGGAAAGTGAGTATGGTAGGAAAGTTAAAAAAAAGTTGTTTGGTAGGTCGAAATATTACCGGGAATAGTCTTAAATTTCCTGAGTCTATGTTTGGTTGAAGGTAAAATATTGATCGAAAAATGAGATGAAATTACCAAACTAACCCTTGACTGAATACAAAGAAGACTCTCTCTCTCTCTCCAGCTTTCTTTTAGCACGTTTTTTGAGAAGGGATATTTGTGTCTACTGGTTTTTTTTTTCCTACTTTTTGGTTTGATGTGGTAATGAGAATACCACCCTATAGGTGGTATTCTGAAATGGCAAAATTTTCAATTTTACACACAAACTGAGATTGTTCTGCAAATCTGAATGATGGGCAAATTTTTTAAAACCTCCTACCAAACATGGTCAACTAGAAAACCCATCTCAACTTTCCTAGGCACCAAAAAAAACTCTCCTACCAAACACCCCCTAAAGCTAAACTAAAGATAACGAAACCGACCACTTTGCTTTTTTGCTTTTGCTTGGTTTCGTTTGTAGACAATAGGTTTGATTGTTGTTCATGGCCATAGCCTCATCTCCAAAGTATGGGTTACACATACATTGGAAGAAACCCAGTCTTCATTACATTTTTTTAATAGATGTCTTGCATTACATTTGGGTAACTTGCAGAACTGCTGTCCCCTCTTCCTCTTGGTGCCTGTTTCATTCAATCTTGTACAATCTGTCATATCTGTAGTGCAGGCATCAAGCTGAAATATGACTAAGATTTATTGCATGTTATTTTGTTAATTTAATTTAGATACTCTTTTCTAAATGAGATATAAAACAGCTACTTGATATTTTCTTGGACAATCATGTCTGATTTATTGTTTTTCATATTAGAATATTTTGAAATTGGTATCATTTTTTACAGATATTTGAGCATATTTATAGTTTTTTTAATATAAATTATAAATTTATATATACTTATTGGGTCATGCGGTTCAATCAGTGACCCAGTACCTCGACCGGTTCAATAATCGGGTCGAGTTTAATAACATTGGTTGCAAGGGAAATCTGTTAGAATTGGAGGGTGTTGTGGGAGCACACATTCCATGCTGCTTAAAAGGAGGAAGCATTGACCAAGAGGGGGCATCTTTGGGCTTGGGATTGGAACATAGGAGAGACCAGTAGCCTCTCTAATTGCTTGGGGTTATCTTTTCATTCTTCTTCTGTATTTCATTATCTCTGCTGTAGGTCATTTTTCTCATTACCACTATGAAATCTTGCTGGATTCCTATTGGACCAGTATCCATTAATACAATTTCCCTTTTGTTTGTTCATTTCTTCTATTATTTCTTGGTTGGATCCTACCAGAAAATTTTCACCCACGAGTATTCAAACGAAGGAAAAAGGAGGGGCTTGAGGAGAGGGACCAACAGGCAACAGCTAATGATATTCAAGTTAACATTCTCAGCTGTAGTTTGTAAAGTATTCAATTTGTAGACTACTACTAACAGTCATAAATAGCCTGATTTATGCGTGATTATGCAACATCCTAACAAGTTAAATTTATCTATTATGCAATAGGCACACAAATTACATTAATAAGAAGGCAAACAGCTTATATTAGTGGATAACTACAGTAACTGTAAATAGCTAAAAAATCGACATACCTGGCTTTCATCGTCATCCACAAAAAGCCGTATGGCATCATCAGCAGCTCCACTGGCAAAGATACCTTCTCTGTGATACCCGTACACAATGCAGGATATAGAAACATCAAATTAATATAAGCAAAAACTAGATAAGATACATCTGCTATCTTCATGACAGACATGAAGTGCATGAGTCATTAGCTTCATCTTGCTTTCAATTAAGAAAGATAGAAACAAAGGAATAGGTAATGATTGACTCCGGCGTATGCTGCGAAGATTACGTTTACATTTTAAAAACTTTTGTGTGACCCAAAGAATGAAAGAGGGTAAATCATCCACACCGTAGGAAGAATTGTCAGCGATCAGCATACATTCCAAACATAAACATTGACTGATTTACCCTACAAACATAATAGCTCATATTTATTCCATTCTGAATTTTACTTAATTTGAGATCCTTAACAGTGGGAATGGGCATAGATGAAATGATGACGGTTGACTTCTTAAAGGCATACATATGACCTATGTTGCATCGATACCGACACGGGACACGAGACACGATACTCCGACACGTTAATTCTAAAAAGTGTTAAATTTTGACACGTTAGGACACATTTTGATATTAAATAATATTTTTAATTTATGTAGTGTATATTATATTTATATTCAATAATTTAACAAAAAAATAAAGCTAAACTTATAATACCCATCAATTTTACAAAGAAACATAAGATATCTCAAATATTTATATTAAACTCAATAAAATGATAATCACAATCCAACGAATCTAATAGTTGGAACTCAAAACGTAGCGAAACGCAACCTTTAAACCATTTTTTTAGTCTTTGCAACGAGTATTGGAGTGTTGGGGAGTGTCGGTGAGTGTCGGGAAGTGTCGGACACGACACGTCAGGGTTTTTGAAGTGTCAGTGTTTCATAGCATATGACATTGTAAGTGAGTAATGATTAATGAGCTGGTTAAATTTGCAAAGTACTTAAAGATTTACATAAATGACCATAAGTGAAATGCAAACTACGTTTTAATTAACCAAGATGCAACTACCTTGACCAATGAACTGAGAAAATCGTCCGATCATGATACCCTGTAAGAGTGCAAAGATGTCTCCTGAAATTCCCAATATGAAATAAGAAACAATTGTATATTGTATGGAAAGGAAAGGATTAATATGGCATCATTATTAAATGATTTATCCCTCATTTGTACAAGAGCCATAGTAAATAAAAGAATATTAACCCAAACCTATCTAATTGGTTTTAAAAACCTTAAAAGAAACTATACTAAAAAAATAGCAGAACCGACAGCTGGATTGTGACTTGAAAGCCACAGTTGAATCAAAGTATCAAATGCCATAAAAGGAACCAATATCAGATCAGATCTTTCAATATATAGTTGAGTTTAAGATAAGGTGACTGGGAAATGTGAGACATCAGCAAACAAGCAAGGGCTGTGATGTAGAGGAGAGACCACTCCTAAAAGAGAGGATGTAAAGGCAGGAAATCCAAACAAAATCTGGTTATATATACTTATGCAGTTGCACTCCAGATGGTCAAAATGCTACTGGGCACATGATAACATGTTCTCCCATATGCACATTTTCCACCACCTGTTTTTATCACACACAAAAAATCCTCCACCTATTATATTACAAGGCTAATCTTCATCTTAGAAAATCAATCTCGGGATTATGAAGCAACAACCACAATATATGTGCATAAATGACTATGGTTTACGTCATAAAACTTCGCATTAAATATCTGAAACACTGCAACATGTCGAATATCTGAAATGTGAAATACATATTCCAGTATTCTATCCAGAGGACAAAAACAAGTTTAAGAAAGAAAAAGGAAAAAATCTCCATGTTACTTACCAAGATGCAAATCCACCACCAGATTGCTTCTCTATGTTTTCTGTTTCCCATACCTTCAGGGTAAGATCATCACTGCCAAAAGGGGTTGGAGTCAAAATGCCACAGAAGTTCAAGAAAATGTCAAAATAATTCAAGGCACAGACAAGAGAAGTATTTCCCATACCAACAGGTAACCATTTTGTCTCCACTAGCATTGAAGGAGAGGGCCCAAACAGTAGAAGTATGACCACTGATAAATAACACAATCATACGCGAACAAATTAACATTAACTTTTGGTCTAAACAATTGGTCATCCTACATAAACTAGTGTAAAAGATATATGCAAAATACATTTTCCATAAAATACAGAAAAGGAATCATGTCTAAAAGAGAAGCAAACAAACACGCTGTAAAAATGGAGATGGGTGAAGAGATCAAGAAATAGTACTTATTGGGTTCTCCAAGAGTTTGAACACACTGCCAATCGTCGTCACCTTCATCTGCCCAAACCTGGAAGAAAAATTCATCGCATCATAATGTTATCAACCATTCTATCACAAAGGAAGAAAACATAAGGCTAAAGGAACAACAATGAAATTAAAATGGCAAATCCTTTTTTTTTTCTAGTATTTGTATTACCTTAACATTATTATCATAGCTACATGAAAATAAGATATCCTCCGTGGGATGCCACTTCACCATTTTGACATCCTGGGCATGTCCTTGCAGCACCGACACACACTCAAACTCATTGCCTGGCTGCACTTCCCATATCCAAACAGATTTATCTCTACTACAAGTTGCAAGCAAAGTTCCAGATGCATTCCAAGATACACTCTTGACCTCATTTTCATGTCCCTATTAACAAAAGAAATTAGCAATCATCAAATAATTCACACTTCATGACATACTTAAAAGGGGTGTTTGGTAAAGGAGAAAATTGTTTATGCCTGAGAATCACGATTACCGGGAATATTAGCTCAAGTAAATTTCTCAGGAATGTAACCAAAAAGTTGTTTAGTGGGCCACAATATTACCGGGAATATTGGCTCAAGTTTCCTAATTCCATATTTGGTTGATCGTCGAATATTACCGAGAATGTAGGGTGGTGCTGGCGGCGCCATCACCGCACAATTGGCGCAGGAAGAAAGGCAAGCATGGGAATGTTGGCACTAGTGGCGCGGGAAGGAATTTTGCTTGGCGCTGGTGAGGAGATCAAAATATTTTTCCACCTTTCGGTAATCCAAGAATATCACCCCAATGGTGGTATTCTTGGATGGCATTTTGTCTTAAAAAATCAACCGAATCAAAATCATGGAAAAATCATATTCCCGAAAAAAAATTCACAATCCTTATAGCAAATGTGAGTAAAAAAAATTCCCAAAGTCGCTTTCCAGGTAATCTAAAAAAAATTCTTATACCAAACAACCAAGAGAATAAATTGTAAACAGTAGTAGTAGCATACCTCCAAAGTTGATACACACTCAAAATCACCACCAACATTTTCCCATATAGCAGTGGTGGCATCAAAGCTTGCAGTAGCCAATAGCTTCCCGTTCGGTGACCAAGCACAAGATCGAACAGTTCGAGTGTGCGTTTCATCCAAAACCGCCTGCATTTCATTGTGAAACTCTCATATATCATAATTTACAAAGTATTGAACTGAATTCAATATTGATGAATGACAAATTGAATTGAAGTAAACCTTGCAGGACCAGAGGGCAGAGGAGAGGTTCTGCTCCCAGATTCGGACGGTTTTATCGCCGCTGCAAGAAGCAAAGACGAGTGGGATACCGGAATGACCGGTGGCCGGGTTCCAATCCAAGCTCCAAACCCTATCTGTGTGACCTTCGAGTCTCTGAATCTCCTTCAGCTCCATCGCAATTCGATTTTACTCTGCAATCACTTGTTTCTTCTATTTCCTACTCCTACTCTCTCGCAAAGGCTTTCCACGCGCCGAGAAAGGGAAAAAAAAAAAAACTCAATTTTTCCAAAACGAAAAAAAAAACAAAAAAGAAAAGGAAAAAAGTTGGAGACTAATCAATCACCAATCTAGCCGCCGTCAATCGAGGAAAGGGTGTGTGCAAAAAAGATAAGTTAGTCTGTAGACTAAGGACAAACACTTATCTAACACAATGGCAGTGCAATCTAAAAAAAAATTGATTTTTTTTTATAAGTTATTTTATCTATCATTTTTTTTAATATGATTAAATCAAAATCTCAAGAAAAAAAATATTAGTTACGATTTTAATTTAACAATATTAAAAATTAATAAACAAAGATAGACAAAAATATATGTAGATCAACCTATCTTTTTTTTTATAATTGAGTTATTATAAGATAAGATAATAGTAGTTTCATTCTTTTAACACCGACTGCTTAAATATTTGCTATGCTTTAATTTCCCTAGGATTTTTTTTGTTAATTTTTCAATAATTTACACAAATCTGTAAAAGACACTCAATTCATTTAATAAAATATATATATATATATATATATGAAATATGATCAATTTAATCTTTGATTTCCGTATTATAAAGTTATAATTTATTGAGTTAAATTTATTAATTCTAAATAAATTATCATACAAAAACTAATGGATAAAATTTGATATAAGATTTATTATTCATATACCGATGTAAAAAAATCCTCCCCCACCCACCCACACACATATATGTAATTTAATATTTCATGAAAATAATTGAATTGATATGCTTATAAAACATGTTAATAAAATTGTGAGTTTAATATTGGGAATGGCACGGGAGAATCCAAAACTCTTTAATCTCGATCCGAAACATTAAGGTTGTAGATTTATGGGTCTTTCTTAGTTATATGATCCTCACTTGATTTATTTTTAAGTGATATGGGACTTCACCACCATTCACACTTAAATATTTTCACCATTTACATCTTAACAATATATTATGATTTTGTATTTAACACTAAATAATATTATAAATAATTTTTTTATTGTCAAATATGTGGATTAACTAACAAGAGTTTTTATCTAACTAAATTAAATTAATCAGATAATCCATAAATTTGCAAAAAAATAAAATTAAAATTAATGTCATGATTTTCCATAATGTAATTTGCTGAATTTTCAAACAGTTTATTATAAATACTTATTCTAAATGCATTGTGTATTTCAATAAAATATACTTTATATAACCAAATCACTATTTTTAGGATATTGAAGTGTTTTTCTTGTGATAAAAACCTTCCTCAAGTTGCATGATAAATGTTTTCTTATGTTTTCTATTTGATTTGTATGTAAAGTTTTTTTCTACTAAGGGAAATGTATTGGATTAAGATTTTAAAAGCTTTTTTTGAGATAAAAAATCTTTCAGATTTTAAAAGACATTTTAGAATTAGAGGGACTTTAAAAACTTTTTTTACAATCAAGATTTCATAAGAATGTATTTTAAAGGATTTTAATAGAATTTATAAGATTTGAAAGGACAATATGGATGTATAGAATTTTAAAAAATCGTATGAATTTTTAACAAACATTCAAAATTACAAGAGTCAATAAAAAAATAAAGAAATGCAACGAAATTAAAAAAAAAAGTAAAACCTAATATAATTTTTTCAATCCGTAAAACATAATATAATTTTTAACAAATATTCAAAATTACTAAGCAACTCTTCACATATCTAAAGTTTTACTAGTCCTCCACGCATTAACATTTTCTCGTTTATGCTCTTGGATTTGATCAGGGGATTAAAAATTATCTTCTTCATTTGATATCAAAACTATGCATATATAATTATAAAATCCAACTTTTTATTTATTAAAATAATTCTAAATTTGCATATAAAACCTAAAGTTCATAATAAATTTTGGTTTGATTTTTTTTTTTGAAGTATAGGATTTATACTATAGAACCTAAAGTTCATAATAAGTATGGAGTCCACTACTAGTTAAGTCATAATATAAAAAAATAATACTCATACAACGTGAGAAAATCAAAGCATCTTTTATAGCCGAAAAACATTCTAGAAGCCAACAAAGGTGGAGACTATTAGCTAAGGTTTTGGTCCTTATACTATAAAGACGTGAGTTCAAATTTGTTGACCAATGTGAAAACTTTATTGGTGACTGATATACATTTCCTCCCCAAAATCTTCAAAAAAATTGAGGGTCTTCCTTAAAATACTGGTGCCTTCCTCGAAAATGCATCCTGAGCTCCCTAGCAAAATTAATTTTCTATGCGTACCATTATCTGTTAACTGTGTCATATTTTAGTAATACCATGCACACACTTTAAATAAATAATAATAAAATGTCATTTGTCCCCATAGATATATGTAATAAATTGTAAAGATTTTCATAAACATCATACAAGTCAGGTAAAGACATAATCTTATTATGAAATGTGAGATTAATGAGTTAGTTTCGATCTAACTATTCAATATTGCACGTGTGATCTAAAATAAAAGTTTTATAAGTCACAACTTTACGTTTTTACAATTTTTTAGGAAATTATTATTTTTTAACTGTTTTTGAGTATAACTAGAGTATATTCCTTAACTGACAGTCGAAAATTAGTTTTCTCGAGATGTAGTGGATTTTTCCTCTATCTCCGAACTGTTTTTAACTTATAAGAAAAATACTGTTTTCATAGTTATCATGAGATTTTTAAATATATTTTTAAATTATCGTTAATTTTAAAAACAAATAAATGGCTCAACTAAATTTTCTAAAAATAATCGGATCTAATATAATATAATAAATTATTTTTTTGAAAAGTCATTTATTCAAATGATAAGAAGTTTATTTTTCTAATCAAATTGGATATACAAAGAAAATATATAATAGAGTTTTTTTCAGTTTCGTTATTATAAAACAATGACCTCTCTTAACATTATTTTTTGGAATAAATAAATTTTAAAATTAAAATCAAAATAATTAAAAAAACAAATATTTTGGACTCAAATTAACATAGTTTGATGATTTGATCATACATGACATATTGACATGAGAGATTGATTTAAATAAAAAAATAAAAAATAAATACTCCCTTATCACTGTAATTTTATTTTCTTAAACACCTGGAAATTGAATCCTGTGAACGATTGATTAAGCCCAGCCCATTAAATAACGAATGGGCATACAGACAGTGTTGCGGTCCGTTTGAACCGGTCATTGATTTCGATCTTTGTTTACATTTGTGTATGTGAAAGCAGAGAGAGAGAGAGAGAGAGAGAGAGATAGAGAGTGGTAACCCTAGGGTCGAAATCAGATTTCGAAGAAGACTATCGAATCGAATCGAAAGCAGAATAGCGATGGAATCTGCGGCTAGAAGAAGAGGAGGAGGAGGCATTTTCGATGGCCTTTACAAGGTCGTTATGCGCCGCAACTCCGTCTATGTTACCTTTGTCATCGTCGGCGCTTTCCTCGGAGAACGGGTCTCTCATTTCCCTTTCCCTCCTCTCCTCTTATTCAATCGTTAGGTTATATTATTATTATTATTATTATTATTATTATTTTGCTGAGAGATTCATGTTATTGGTTGCAGGCTGTGGATTATGGTGTTCACAAGCTCTGGGAGCGCAATAATGTTGGGGTACTAAATCTACCGTACTCTATCGTTAATCTATCCATTTTATGGTGCATGCGATGTCATCGTATACACTTTGTTTGCTGAAATGATAAGTTTGATCGATCTAATTGAAACGATGCTTAAGATCTTTGTATTTTTTAACCCTAAAGCTTATAAAATGTCTGCTGTTTTGATTGCAATGATAGTTCATGATATTTTTACACTTTCGTATTGAAATTATAGCTATGCTTTTAAATAGATCTCTTTGGGTTATTTTTCCTAATTTTCTGTGAGAATATACTGGATTATTGGTTCATTTTACCATGTTACTATGACTATCAATAGTAGCCGACATAAAATTCGTCTAGTCTTTGTGGCCGACCCTGTAGGGGCCTAAGACGTGGTTGTTGTTGTACTGTGACTATCAATCAACTCATATGTCTTGATAGTGCAAAATAGTGCAAATTGATAACTAGAATATGATGAATGTTATAATCCATTTGGATTAGCTTGGTATTGCTTTGAAAGTTTTGGACACTTGGTTGATATTAAAAGCTCTGTAAGCAGATTCTGAATGGACAATGGAGTATCAACTTTGGAAAGGTCATTTAGGTTTCCGTCACTATGAAGTGTGGAAGCATAAGGATGAATGGTTCTCGTTTGAGTTTCCATAACTTTTTGCAGATTATACTATCTGTGCAAAATTCTAACTGAAGAATTCTAAATTATATAGTTGGTCTGTTAAGTTTTGTGTGCCACAAGACTTATTCATTGATCTTTATTGCTTTGGTGTTTCTTTTGGTTCATTGTTACAAATTGGTACAAATGTCTTGGCATATTTAGGTACTGCCTTGTTTGGAGGTGCAAGGTGCCTACATTCCTTGTTTCCTACATTATGATGCTACTTGATAACACTAACACGTTGCCATTGAATTCAATGTCTATGAATACTATTCAATCAGAAATAGTTTAGCATTACTTTTGCATTCTAGTCATCATGTTGTTTGTGAATGATGCAATTTTGACACATCAAGGGTTTGCTTGTGCTGATCAGTATCAATGGTTTTATTCAATTTTTGTCAGTAGATTTATTAATTTTCATTGTTTACTTTGCTTTGGTAGTCCCCTTCCCCTGAAGAAAAACCGGAAATGAAAATATGTCTTTTTATCTAATATGGGCGAACACACACACATATGCACTCCCTACATCCACTATATCTCTGAGGCACCCATTTCCCCCATCATTTTCCTTGTCTCGAGAACTCAGAAAATTATCAGCGGGCATAAATTGGTCTTCGCTGCCAATTGTCATATCTCTCACTACCTAGTTCTTCACTTGTCTTCCCTCTGGCACTTGCTGGTAAACTCCTTCCATGATTGACCTCTTTCTTAAACAAAGGAAAAGAAAATAGTTGGGGTAATTCATTTGTCATAATTAAGTTATCTTCTGATGTTTACTTTTATTTCAAAGTGACCAAATATAGAGGACAAATGCCATTATTGATTAGAGGTTGAAGGCCAGATTAAAATGTGGCCTTGGTTGACATTATACCCGGCAATAGACAAGCTTGAGAAAGTTAATCAAACTAATAGTTTACAGAAATTATACATGGCAATAGACACTCCTTCTGTTGAGAAGGCTTATCTCTTTTGGAAAAAGCACCTCTAAAATGAGAAAGCCTCTAAAGTGCACAAGTAGGGTTTGTCCACCATTGATTTATATTAAAGTGTCTCATGAACTTAATCCCCTTTAGTTTAAGGGTGAATACTCTCTCATTTGTTCACTTTAGAGCTTCTCATTTCAGAGGAGCCTTATCCATCATTTTTTATTCTTATGAAGTAGTGTGGAATGACGAGGGAGAGGAAATTGTATAGTGCACTTATTCTAGATGTTTAGGGCATGTGCATGTTTCTATATTTTCATTTTTGAATATGAATACTCACAATTTTTTTATGTTAAATGTTTTCCTTGCCCCATTCATACTTTGCAGAATTTAATCATAATTTCAACTTAAAAATAGATTGGAGAGACCCTTGTGTTTAATCATCGGCAGTTTTTGCATGGTCGATCCCATCCATGATAGTAGACAAGTAGTTATTAGTTCAAGTGTTATACTAGTTACCAATCATTAATTTTAATGATTCTGGTCTTTATGATGCAATGATGTTTACTTTTGCTATTAAAGCTTTACACTATTTTGCTCTAGTACTATAATTATATTTTCTCGTGCAGAAACGTTACGAAGACATTCCTGTGCTAGGGCAAAGACCGTCAGAAGAGTGAATTGTCGGACCATGTTGTTAGCTATTTTGAAGTTTATTATATTCATGGAAATTTGAAGTGAATATTGTGAGCTGAAGCAGTTTCCATTTTTGCAATAAGTGTCCTATGCTTGTCTCTTTCAGGATTAACTCATGCATGGTTTCATTTACTGGCCGTTGGAATATAAAATATTGAACTGGTGTAAAATGCTGTATTTTTTCGAAGCGATTGGGTTTCTCAAATCGCTGGCTTTTTAGTAATCTTGTTTTGTGAAAGTTTGTTTACACATGGAAAATTATTAATGCTCAATAATTTCATTTAACATCACTAATGAGTAAATGACGTACTATTCTTGCTCAGACTGGATTCAATGCAGATGTGCAGGGGAGATTGTATTGTGACAATTTCGATGCAAGTAGTGTTAAAAAATTAAAACAATGAACAGGGACAAGCTAAAATAAGACTAGGGGTTAGCCTCAGTCAAATAAGGACAAACGAACTGGGTGAAGACCTATTAGTACATATCCATATTTTTCCTGATATTTGCTGATAGCTGGTGAAACAACGTAACAGCTTGGAAATGCTTATATATGTATACTTGAAATCGGTGTCAATAAAATTGCATATTTCCAAAATATGGTGGTGTTTGATTTTTTATTTTATTTTTTTCGTACAATAAAGGGGCAGGCCCCAAAAACAAGAGAAAAAGCAGGAAAAAAAAAACAGAAAAACAGCAGAAAAACCGACACTAAACAATCTGTAAAGCAGGAACACGGGAAGGGTCTCCTGGGTCAAGGCAGTCTGCAAGGATCAACTGCTCTTGGTGAGAAGAACAAAATTCATAGAATCCAAAGTTTCTCTTGATGGCATCTTTGGCTAAACAATCAGCACAACTGTTAAGAGCTTTGGAACATGAGAAAATTCATAGAACTTGTGCTTTAAAAGCTGAGGAAATTCATCTTCAACGGCAAGCATAAAAGCTGAGGACTTACTGGGACTATTCTCATTGTTCTTTAAAATGTTCGACTACTTTCACTTGAACAGCTGAACTTGTGCTTTTTGCTAGCTTCAGTCGTGAGTTGAACAATGTGAGATCGGATGAAAATTTATTTTGGTATTTTTTATGTTTTTTTTTATAGGCTAATTTTTATGTTTGATTTTAAATGATTTGTTGTGTAAAAATTTTGTATTTGTTTCATAATCTTTTAACATATATTTTTTTTTTTTGTATACACACAAATTTGTTTTTCCTTCTGACATGACTTGCGCTTTTAGGGTTTAGGGTTCTTCTGATTTCAATTTTGTTTGGTATTAATGATATATTTGTTCAATCTAGTGTCTTTGAGGACTAATTTTGCAAATTTTGTTCGTATTTTATTTGGTGTGCGTGCGTCCCAAACTTTAGGTTACTATTCATGTTCTTCAAAACACACGTGGTAAGGCACATATACGTAAGTGGCGAATGAATATCTTTGCCCTCGTAACCTTTTGTAGTCAAATTTTTTGAACGCCACACCTTGAAGCAAAGTTAGAAAAGCGGAGTTGAACATGGCTTCAATTTGGTATGCTTGTGAAATCGGCTTTGGTAGAATCTTATACGCGCGTAGGTAGTAATTTCAACCAGTGGCCAGCTGCCATGTTTGGGTAGTCTTCAACGTTATTATCTCTTTCAATTATAGATTATTTCGTTATTCAAAATTTTTATTTCACAAGTATACTGAGAACCAAGTACGTTTTAACTGCTAACAACACCCCTTTCACCCCAAATTTCGTTCTAGCTATATTAATTACTTAGATCTGAAAAAAAAAGTAGAGTCTTTCAAATATAACTTGTTTAATACGTATAGTTAAATAAGAAATAAATGGCACACCCAAAACAGAGTTCAACGATTTTCATTGCCTAATATTCTCTCTTCACCATTCAGTCCTTCGCTTCGATTTTCATCTAAGTTAATATAATAGTTCTTCCAAGTTCTCAAATGAAATTGGTCAACATTGTATTAGCTACTAAAATTCTCTTCTGTATCAGCAAAATTGTATATTGTAAACAATCTTGTGCTACATCTTTCTGGTTTACGGATTGCATCTGTCCAAGTCATGTCATTACACAAGTACACAAGCAACTTTTTGCATACTGAAAATCTCATTTGCAAGCCTCCCACAGTAGAGTGACGGCAATAAAAAGCTAAGATATTAAAACAGGCTAGACGAAAATGCCTGATAATTTATTGCTTACACAATATCTACATTGATTTCGTTATACAAACAATAAATTTTATCTTCAGTTCAATCAATTGTTTTTAAGGTACAATAATCATATTTCGTAATAGAATCTAGTTCACAAGGACTGAATAAAATATCTGAGCAGAGCCGGAGGGTCACGGTGTACTTCCATGATAGTTACTACTGTTTCACCATGAAGGAAACTTTACAGCTGCAACCACCAACTGCACTAGGGTTTTCTGTCACCTACAAATGAAATCAGACACTAACTGTAAATGTGTACTTAGTAAGATGCCTTAAAGAATACTATTCAACCTTATAAACAAGGGCAGTGATGGCCCAGAATAAATTCTCTAATGTTACTTTTTCACATAGCCTTGCGATGTAAAAATTGTGTCTATTTCTAACTTCATATATAATAAATAGGTGGAGAGAGATATATACAAAATTTAGATAATCTTATGATGTGAAAATCTCTCGTAAGGAGATCTATTTCCAGTGGTAGCCACACGCACATTTTCCCTTACACTCATCAAATACCCATTTCAATGCACCATTAGATTTGCCTCTAGAACTAGAAGGGTGTATAGGCACATCAATAATTTCTGTACATATTCACATACAATCTTGGGCTTTGCACTTGGTTTAAACCCCACACATTGCTTTTAAGGATGTGTGACCAGACCTTTTTCTCTAACAAAAACGATGTCATGAAACATAAAAGACAAAATATGATTGTGAAATTATGCAAGAGTAGTTTTCTGTTAAATAATTACCCAAATACTCGATCACAGCTGGTTATGGCTAATTGTGATTATACAGGATACTTAATAACAAAATCGAAGTCATGGAATGACACTCCTTCCAATTTCTATGCTGCTCTATATATTTTAAGAGCAAATCATACTCCAAGTTGTTTAACGAATTAGAAAACTGACATGTGGCCTTCATTTATGGTGTAGCACTACAGTTCCTCCTCCTGGCCACTATTTTGCTAATGTCAGTCACATTTTCCAGGCATATCTCAAGTTGCAGCTCCAATTTTGTTTGAACTGTCAATGGAGGAGTGCCTAAAAAACATGACTGGTTTTGGGAGAGAGCTGTCCCTAGCAAAAGCTTAGTCAGGAGAGCAACTGCAATATCCACATAACAATGCCCAACATGTTAGTCTGTAATTTGCCATATAGCTTAGAGTATAATAGGGTCCTAAAACGTGTAGAGCACTATACAATCCTCCCTTAAAAATTTGTTATGAAAAGACTTTTAAGAGCATCTAAAGGCATTGCTTGGATGATCACAAAAGGAGTAACCTCTGTTTAGAGCATTTGGAGCAACATGTGCCCTTATGCAAGAGCCTTTTGAGCTTGAAGCATGGACAAATGCACATCTATTATATCTTGTGCTGAAATTCAACTTTTTATAATAAGAATGAGGGCGGTAAGGATTAAACTCTTGATCATTTGGTCATAGAGACCGCAATGTCAACGACCAACTCTCCTAAAAGCTTAAGCTAATAGATGAAGGCTCATATATGGTTTAATTTCAAACAGAACGTCTCAAATGTTTAGGATTTAACCAAATAACAGGATGTGGATTGCTACTATTGTTCATAGAAAACTTTCCAAGTGGAATACATCTTAAGAAACTTTGTTCCCTGATTATTACCATACTAAATTTATAAAAAAGTTGCAGGCTGTAATACCTATGAAGTGCAAAGGAAAGAATGTGGAGATAGCTTGTAATGAACACAACAATTTATACATGGCTCACAAATGTGTTTGACTTACTACGAAAGCTGAACGGATTAGCTCCTCAACATAATCAACAGTTGCGCCTTTCACAAAATCGTATGAAATATTGTCAACAACCAGTTTAATTCCTTCCCTCTCAAAAACTCTGCCAATATATTAAGACAAGGGTTTAGCATGTTCAAGCCCAGTAGGTAAGCACATCATCGGTGAAAATCGACTGGTAAGAGGTAATACCTGTCGTCTGAGTTGATTCTGTCATCCAGATCAAAAGCATACTGAAATCCAGAACATCCACCAGTTTCTACACTCAAACGAAGCATTTTTCCATCCGCTGATGATTCACTGGCTCCCAGTTCCTTCATTCTCTGTTCCATAATCAATAAGTTGCAGAAATGGGATGTTAATGATTACATGTAACCATACATAGCTCCTGAGCTATATGTAAGATAATCACAAGCAAAGGGGAGAACGTCCATAAACCAAACCAAACCTAAATGGATCATACTAGCCAGACAACAGATTTTGGAATGCATTTGCTGCAAAATTTAATTAAACAACCCATGTTAACAAGATGTTTACATTACAAAGAAGGAAACTTGGAACCACCCCTTTAGTTGGAGAGTTAGGAGTGGTTCAGTTTCGTTCTATTTTGTTTAAAGCAGCTTAAGTTTTCAAGCTGAGTCAACCATGCTTATATAACTCCTCCTTGCACATTGCAGAACTATCCATTCAATAATTCGAGGATATTTGCTAAACAAGTAGCCACACCGGAAAACACCGATTAAACAAAAAATTAAAAAAGGAGAAAAAACTATAAAAAAGCACCTTAATAGTTTATTCCCTAAATTTTCACTTATCAAACACAAATCAAGGGACACTTGATGCCACCAAACGAATAAGAATTGAATAACAAAGCAGAAGAGTGATGTTGCATGTGTCTAAGTGCATTACACATCAAAATCCCTATTACTGATTGAAAAAAAGTGCAATTGGATAACAAAAAATTATTGATTAAGATAGAAAAAAGGAGGGAAAAATAACAAGAGGAAAGCGCGAATGAATCATTAAGGTAGGAAAAAAATCATCAGAGGAAGTGATTGAGGGAGAAAGGAACATACTCTAACGCAGTTTTCGGTGATGTGAACGGGCTCAACGGAAGAAGAAGAAGAAGAAGAAGTGGCATGGTGAAGAACAGAAGCAGAAGCAGAAGAGCTTAAAAGCCTCTCGTTTTGTCGGAATCTCGCTGCCAACGACGGAGCCAAGCGTCGAAACAGTGACGTCTGCATCTCTCTCTCTCTCTCTCTAAACAACCATCGATGGCTCGCTACCTTCTTCTCTGCGATTGCGTTTTTCTTACAGAGACCTCAACCCACGTTTCAGCCCAATTCACGGCCCAGATTCCAACACCTCATCAAACGAAAATCAACGGTTCAGAATTTGCCAAGTCATCCGAAAAATAAAAAATAAATAGAATGAAGAGTCACACAAAAAGGGCTGGTTACTTGGTTTTATTTTAGGTACAATGAAATTCAGCTGTTTCGCAGGAACAAGCAGAGACTGAAAATCAAACCGTAAGAGCGTCAATATCTCCGAATCTCTGTCTCATTGCGAATTGTTTCACTTTTCTCTCTCTGTTTTGTTTTCTGATCTAGAATAATTTAAACGATTATTATTTTTATTTTATTTTTGATATCGTTCAACTGATTTTGGATTGAAAGATGCTGAGTTTATAGAAAACATCCGTAACAGAAGTTTTCGTAGCAAATGCGGTCGATTTTTTGGATTTCATTGAATTCGATATTCTCAGATTCGTTAATGAGGCAGTGTTACTGACATTGTTCTTGTTTCCTGCATATCTGTGTTTTTTATTTTATTTTATTCTCTCTCTTTTGGGATGGGAACATATTTATTTAGCTCAAGGTGCTGTGTATTTCTTGAGAAACGTACCCTTATAGTTGTTTTCTCTTAGCAATAATTCCAATTTCCAGTAACTAGGCATAATTTGAATGGTTCTTGCTTGATTAAAACTGTGAACTGCTGATCTATTGATATTTTTCTTCTTGGTTTCAATGGATGGTCCAGTTAATCACTTTGCCTAGTATACAAGTTGCGCTGGAGAAGATGCAAAACAGTGAGGAACAAAAGTTTAGAGTCCGGAAATTGGAGATCTCAGACAAGGGCAAAGGTTTTATAGAGTTACTGCAACAACTCAGCGTTTGTGATTCTGTCTCTGACAAGGAATTTGAGGATCGGTTTCAAGAGCTCAGTTCCCTTGGAGATGACCATGTTATCTGCGTTATTGAAGACGAGCTTTCTGGAAAGATCATTGCAAGTGGGAGTGTGTTTATTGAGAAGAAGTTTTTAAGAAATTGTGGCAAAGTTGGGCATATTGAGGACGTTGTTGTGGATTCCAGCACCCGTGGGAAGCAATTGGGAAAGAAAGTAATCAACTTCCTCACAGATCATGCTCGTTCAATGGGGTGCTATAAGGTGATTCTTGATTGCAGCCTCGAGAACAAGCTGTTCTACGAGAAATGTGGTTTCAAGCAGAAAGAAGTTCAGATGGTTATGTATTTTATTTGAAGACTAGTTCTTCTAGTTTCGCAATGTATCTTTCGGGTGCAAATTTGTTTCTCATATGACTGCAAAATATATATCCCGTTGGTTTTGAAATTTTCCTAAATAAGGGTATGCATGATCATTTCTCGTTTTCCAACTTTTAGTCCACCTATTAGAACTGACGAAAAGAAATTAGGCTCCTTTTGAAGATTCATTTTTTCAATATAAAATACACATTTAAGTATCCATTCAGAAATTCGTATTACCATATGCAGATATGCTTAACATCTTCAATCATATAGGCATAAAAGTACAATCGAAATTTGTACTCAATCCTATCAATATATCCGGCAGAGACAGATAGACGTCGAAACGTATCAGTGAAAAACAACTGATGCACATCCATTTCTTGATCAAACTGTGTGAACTTTTCCATCGCTTAGCTATTTGATTGAACAGGATAATTCATACGGCCAAGTAGATTCATATTTTCAATCATTATAACTTGCATTCTTTTTTGTTCCTTAAAATACAAGCAAATTAGTGTTTGCAGCACAAACGAACTTCCAATTCTCTGTAAGACTAGACATACCAAGACCTTTGCCTATACCAAGAGTACGGTATACAAACTGAAGCTACTGCATGTTAACAAATGAACTTCTTGTAGCATAAATAGATTCCAAAGTATATGGCAGTTCATGAAGCCTAACTTTGTGATTAGCATCTTTGCTATGTTAGCAGGAATCCCATACAGGAGATTGCAGAATGTCAGCTCCATTTTCACCAGGGCCACATATAATTTGCATCCAAAGAAGGCAGCATGGAGGCTGCACTACAGGTGATAATACACAGGCGGCAAGAAACGAGCTTAAACACATTACCGTGAGAATTCAATGCCATGAGAAATCAAACAGTGAAATGACATTACACAATTTGAATTACACAGTACACACGTTGCCGATTTTAAAACATGGCCAGAAATTCACACAAGTATCTAAAGCATAAAAAAGGAGAGAAACGAAAGGGGAAGCTAAGAAAGTAATTGTATGTAACAACATCAAAAATGTAATTATGGACTGTCAATCAAACCAAAACAGCAACATAAGGTTGAAGGATGCTACTTCTTAAAAAAGTTAAAATAAAATTAGATTGCATTAAAACAAGTTTGTTCGCTGAATCCTACTCTAATAAAAACTATGCTACTATATGTCCTATTACAATAGAGATCAAACTATTACTGTTCTGTCAAATGCTTGTGAGTTTCTGGCAATACGAATAAAACCATTTAAACAAACTGTCAAGGATATCAGTCATGCATCCTGCTGTGTAATTTTTGAATTGCTAAGTTTCTGGCAATGAAGATAAAACCATTAAAACAAACCTGCCACTATACAAACTATCTTTACTTTCTCTTTTTCTTCATCCAATATGTCTGCCTTGTCCGATCTGTGAACATGAGCTAATGCCTTTTCTGTACCTCCCATGCATCTCATTATTTATTGAAAAAATAAATAAATTATGCAACGCTTTGATTTATGATACCAAAACATGTGAAAATGTGACAAGGAGATCAATAAACAAGAAGATTGAAGATTAATTATTTTCTTTAGTAAAGCCTATTAGCTCGTGGATTTGGCTCTTCTAAAGTGAGGAGTGCTCTTCAAAGGGTAAAGTGCAAAACTATAACTATTAGAGATTTTAATAACTTCATGGTTTGTTCTACATGTATACAAATTTTATCTTAATTTCAGTCTTGGAGTCTCTAATCAACGACTGTAACTTTGCATTTTACCCTCTAGAGCCAAATTCTTAGCGCAAACATAACAAGATAATAAAGCTCCTTATTGAGAAGAACCAGATGCAAAAAGAATTACAATATATAATCTGGACAAAAATACAACTGAGAACTGTTGAATATTTTATGAAACTATGTCTTCAAAATTTGACACAGTAGTCATTAAATTGACCATACAAAAAAATACATATAAAGCATGAATATGGATACCTTCAGCATCAGTAAAGGTACTTCATTTATCCAAATTCTCAACAACACAGCCGCCTAGCTTGGTTTGACTTTTGAACTTCAGCATTCCTTTTGTAAATAAAGACCATAAAACAACGCGTGGGCCGTGGAGCATAGCTCAAATGATATCTCTCCTGGTTTTTATGAACAGGCTGTGGTTATGTAGTAGGGATGTTCGATCCCCACATACCCATTTCTGGTTCCCTCTTAGGTGCAATAGGACCTCCCTAGAACCCCAAAGTTGACTTGCACACAACCTTCATCTTCGAGTAAGACAACTCTTATTAATCAAAATTCTTTAAGGGTTCAGTTCTCAATCATTCCACGATCAACTTAGCTCATGCAGAGGTTATAATTGAAAACCAAGTTAAATCTTAAAAGTTCGTATTTTCAGCTCTCAAGTTTGTTGACTTGATGGTCGGAAATTAAATAATCCATTCATCAATTTATTATATGAAGCAAGATCAGGTATAAACCCCATATCCAACATTTCATTTACCACTAACTCTCCTTCCTTCCGGCTGCCCTCTCCTGTATAGCCAGTAACCAAAATTTTATATGTCATGCCATCTGGTTCCAAACCCTTGCTTGAAGCAAGTAATCTCAATTTATTTGCATCTTCTGTCCTTCGCAAATTGCAAATATCTTGAAGGACACAATTGAAAGTCACTATATCCAGTACAATACCCTCTTTAAGCATTTTTTCCACCAAACTCCGAGCTTCTTCGGTCTTCCCCAATCCTCTCAAACCATCAATCATCATAATACAAGCAATCAAGCTTGGAACACTTCCTTTGTTCCATAACTCATGAATAAGCTCCAAGGCTCTAATAGCATTTCCTTTCCCACACAAAACTTCCACCAAAACAAAATAATCATACCCTTTAGGCAAAACCCCTCTTTTGGAGAAGTCAACTAATAGGTCACAAGCCTGCAAAACCCTTCCTTCCTTACAAAGTCCACTCACCAAAATCTCGCAAGTCACATTCGAAAGGTGACACCCCAATTCGATCATCTCGTGAGCCATCTCAATCCCTTCATCAATCTTGCGCTCCCTAAACATTCCCTTAATCAATGTATTAAAAGTAACCACATTCGGATGGCACCCCATTTTCCTCATCTCCTTAAAAAGCTCCAATGCCAACCCAAACTGCGAATTCCGACAATAACTACTGATCAAAATGTTAAAGGTAAAGACATCAGGCTTAACCCTATCTCTAACCATCTCATCATAAAACTCCAGAGCTCTATCATGCCTACCACATTTGACAAACCCATGAATCAAAATATTGCAAACAGCGACATTAGGCCTACCATCAATCAATCTACGCATAGTGTGAAAGGAAAAGATAGCATCATCTAATTTCCCAGCTTTAGAGTAAGCGTGAATGGCAAAGCGGAAAATGGGTTCAGCTCGAGGGCAAGAGAAAATACCGTCGGAGCAGGGGCAAGGGTTGGAGGCGATGAAGAGGAGAAGATCACGGAGGTGGCGGAGGCGGTTGGTGACGGCGAGGGTGCGAGCCATCCATTCGAAGGTGGAGTGGTTGTGGCGGAAGGAGTCGATGGAAGAGGCCCAATTGAAGATGTGAAAGTCGTAGTGGGTGAAAGAAGGGTGGTGGTGGAGCTTCGATTTGAGGAAGTGGAGAAGGGTGTTTGGGGTGAAAGGAGGGGCAATATGGGTCTTGAGGAAGTGAAGGAGATGATCGTAGTTGGGGTTGGGAGAGAGCGTAAGAGTAGGAAGAGGGGAAACACATGTATCTGTGTGTGATTCTGGTGGTGGTGCTGGAAGAGGAGGGTTCGGGATCGGAGAAACTGGTGGCAAGGAACAAGGTGGTGGTGGCTTTAAGATTGGTTTCAGGAACTTCTTCATCCCCGTTTTATGCCTATGTCTGCATACACTACCACATGCAAACGGATGCTTTTCTTTTCTTCTGCACTCAACTTACACAGGTGTTTTAAACACAATTTTTGGAAAATAAATTTTTTTAAATTTGTTTTTATTCTTGGATAATAAAAGAAAAATGAGCTTTTTGATCCAAGACATATTATCCAGTTAATTTCTTTTGTATATTATTTATTAATTTAATGTGAGTGAAACGAGAAATATACATAAGTCACTCATCAATATGTGACTTATATATTATGGTATGCAAGATGCGCACGATCAAAATGCACATTTCTGTATGAGTACTACCAAACGCAACCTAGAGTATGATTATCTCAAAATCATTTTTTCATCCTCGGACTCAAATTCCAAAATTATTTTTTGCATTCCGGGACTTGAAGTCGAAATCTATAATTAAAGGGAAGCTTTTTATCAAACTCTCATGTGCATTTCAATAGCATTAAATTAGTAAATAGTTTATCAAAATGATTAAATAAATATATTGATTAAATAAAAACATATTTATGTTTTTGGATAATAAGGTCAAAAAGCAGAAAAATGAAGAACTTGTGTTAAGCCATTAAAATTGGTCTAATAGTAAGAAATTGAATAGTTTATATAACATATTATAGGATAGTTATCTCATGTCATAGAGATACACTAGTGAGCTCTACCAATTGAAAAAATAAAAGAAAAGAAAAAAAGTGGCACATTTATTGAAGAGTGTGTAGGAAAAAAAATTTATGTCATAGTGACATAAAAATAGTTTTTCCCTTTATATAAAGTCAGTAAGTTCAACCCCTTAGGGTAGCTCAGTTGGCAGCTGAGCTCCCAATGGATTGCTTGGTGTAGGGATCAAATCATGTCTCAAGCAGTTTCTTGGAAAATCTTTGGGGGCCAGAAGATAAGTCAAACAATCTTCGGTTGGGGGATTAGTCTCGTCCTTTCTCCAGTTGCGAAACTTCAATAGCATCATTATATCAAAAAAGAATAGACTAGTGTTTTGGGGGAGTAGATGTTAAATAAAACATAATATGATCTTGTTGGAATGTCACAATTATACAAAAATAAATTAATGGTGATGATTTTATAATTGTTTATTTTAATATTATTTCTCTTTTCCCTTATTACTATTAATCCAACTTTATATTATTATAAATTTTTCACATAATATTATCATATTTTATTTAATACGACAAGATCCACTCCATTGTTTTGATGTTTACTCATAACTTCCAAGTGAAAAAAATTTAAAAAAAAAAAAAAAAAACTCGCAAGTGATGTGACACAAAATTGCATTATTGTTGTGGCTAGAGGTAAATATATCCTTTATTATATGACCATTATATATGTAAAATGTAGTTGTGCCGGGAAAAAAATCATAACCACCAGTGGACCAAAATCGCAGTCGTAAACAGGAATTCAAAAAGCAGAAGAAATTCAATTCCCAAAAAAAAAAAACCATGCCTCTTCTTTGCAACCATTGTCTTTCTCTGCAATCGATTCCAAGAAAACCTAACAAGTTCTCATCGACTAACTCTATAATCACCAACACTGCGTCTCCCGGCGAGAGAATCAGTACTCGGCGAAGAACCATGTCAGCCTCTGAAACCCGAATCTCACTTATTTTCGCCCTTGCTTCTCAAGCTAACTCTCTCTCCCAGAGACGTAAATGTTTATAACAAACTCTTCGCCGTGATTTTCTCTCTTAATCTTTCCTTTTCTTCACTCTGCAATCTTCCTTATTCATTTGTTTATGTGCCGCAGTTTTAGCGGACGTGGCTACTGAGACTGCAAAATACATTTTCCCGAAAAGATTTGAAAGCCGCACTCTCGAGGAGGCGTTGATGACTGGTAGTTCATTTTCGTTCTCGAATGTGCAAATTGCAATTCATTTCTTCTTCTTTTCTTTTATATTAATTATTTCGGTGCTTGAGCTTCGTTTTAGTTCCGGACCTTGAGACTTTCAAGTTCAAAGTTCTGAGTAGAAGTGACCAGTATGAGATCAGGGAAGTTGAGGTATATATATCTATATATATTTAGAATATATGTTTTTGGCTCCTTTTTTTTCTCGCATATAGAATATCTGTTTCAATTAAATTTTTTTTTTAAAGGATGGTGTGATTTCTTCATGTTCTGCACATGTGCATGTCCGTGTATACATAGGTGCTTTTTTTATCTAAATTATTGCACTTAGGAAACCTAGTATAAGATGTATTATGCTTGTTGAATTCGAATTGTAGCTGTCACAAGATGTAATTGGGGGACTGTGGGTGAGTGGGTAATATCAGTTTACTTGATATTCTTAGACAGTTGAGTTGATATGCTGTTACTGAACTCCCTATATACTAAGCACTTACAAGTAGTTGTCTTAATGCTTCCATGCAATGCTAAGTGATTTGCCATTGCTGACAAACCATCTGGTCTCAGACTCTCAGGAATGTCGCACCTTGATCTGATAATTATCTTTGCAGCCTTACTTTGCAGCAGAGACTTCAATGCCTGGGAAGAGTGGGTTTGATTTCAACGGTGCTTCTCAGTCTTTTAATGTCCTGGCTGAGTACCTTTTTGGTAAGGTAGTTATATATTTTAGAACTGAACCACATTCATACATTTTAAAAATTTTCTAGGTTGCTTTTGGTCACTACACCTGCTTTTGTTTTCCCCTTCTATTTTAAGAGAAGAAAGAAGTTATAGATGTGTGCTTTTGTTCTCATGGTAGAATGCAATGAAGGAGAACATGGAGATGACTACACCTGTTTTTACAAGTAAGAATCAATCTGATGGGGTTAAAATGGATATGACAACTCCTGTGTTAACAACAAAGGTATTATGATTATTTTCCATGGATTTTGTGAAATATCTGATTTACAGTCTTTATCTTTACTTAATTATTTTCATATGCTTTGCCAGAAAGGTTAGTATAATTATATTCTTTATTCAGTATGAATTCATTTAAACAAAGATAACGATAGATACATGCCTTTTCATATAATGGCTACACTAGTTCGTAGCTAAACAGTCAAAGCTAAAAACCCTGTACACATAATATTCGCTTAAACATTCTTCAAGAAGGGCAGCTAAATAATTGCTCCCAACTTATTTTCATAGTCTGAATTTTTGACCTACCATAATTCACAATTTCAAAAACCAACCTTGTGGAATTCAGGTTTTCTGGAATTAAAGCTTTGCTGATGATTCAACAATGGCTAAACTACCCTGGCTTATTTTCTCAGGCCGACATTTCATGACTTTATCAAAATACATAGCTAACACCTGGAAATTCTTTTGAACTAGAGGTTCTTTAACATATGGGCTAATTAATATGTGAAGTTCAAGCTCTAAATGTCTGAGGTTGGTTTGTAGTTTGGATAAGTAGATACATTTCTTCACCTTAGGAATCAACTATATCTACCCCAATCACATGTCATTATAACTTTATTATCTTCCCTTTTAGATCATGGGTTCATTTTTCATTGTCTTTTTCTTTTTGTTTCCTATTTTATGATATGTTAGAATTATTAGAATTATCTTGGAATATCTGTAAATAATCATATAATTATCTGTAGATATTAGTTTTCTTATTATATTAGGATTTGACTTAGGCTTTGGGTTTCTCCTTTAAGCCCGTTAGTTTCTCTATATATTGTACTCCTTTGTACCTATGGAATAAAATCTTGTAATATACAGCATCCATATTCTAAACTTGTCATTCATTATTCTCAATTGATATATAGAGTGTACTAGTGTCACTTTGTGCTTAAATGGGTGGATTTTGCGATATTATCTTCTGGAAGTTCTATATTTAATACTAGTATTTACTTAGTAGCGATTTCTTCGATATATTTATATTTTATGATGTTCTAATTTATCAGTGATATTATCTTAGATGGAAGATCTAGATAAGTGGAAAATGTCTTTTGTCATGCCCTCAAAGTATGGTGCTAACTTGCCACTGCCTAAAGATTCCTCTGTGAGGATTAAAGAGATTCCCAGAAAAATAGTTGCTGTAGTTTCCTTTTCAGGTATGCCCTTGCCTTAATACTTTTTATAAATAATTTGTATACAAATTTCATTTCATCTCTTTTTTACCCCCCTTTGTATACAATGTTAGTATATCATCTGAAGATAATGTTAGTATGCTTGAGCATAAATCTTGGTTGACTTACTATAAAGTTATAAATGAGTAAATCAGACTCCTCTAAGTATTTGTATGCAGCATCAATGGATAAAGGATTTGATTGAATTTCATTTGAGATTCTCAATCAAACATATAATTTTCTTTCCTTTGTATGGAATCAGGTTTTGTGAATGATGATGAAGTTAAGCAGCGCGAACTGAAACTACGAGAAGCTTTGAAAAGTGACGGACAGTTTAAAATTAAAGAGGGAACTTCAATAGAAATTGCACAGGTGAGTTTCTTATTGCAATCTTGGGATTAAAGGTCACTGAGGTTTACCCGACAATCCCTTTCTTCTTACAAATGTCATTTACTACTTTATTTGGTTGCAGTATAATCCACCATTTACTCTTCCATTTCAACGCCGTAATGAGATTGCATTGGAGGTGGAATGGAAAAATGAATAGGAACAATATTAGCCAATTTACAATCTTGAGGTACTTGTGAATTTTCCTCAGTCATTGTAAGCTGTAAAAGTAAACCTTTTCAATATCACGAATCAGACTCCAATACAAGATCTTTTGTACTCAATATTGATGCTTGTCTTTTTTGTAAATAGTTCTTGTACTCATATTGATGCTTATCTTTTTTCAAAAATGTAATGAGATTGGCAGTTTTACAATCAAATTGATGTCATCTACCAATGTAATGTATGTTTAAATTTGGCGTTGTAAAAGTGTGACATAAAGAAACCACTCCCCGTTAAACCCGACTAGTGAGTGTGGAGTGGAGGTAATCCTTGTACACAACTTTACTCTTGCATAATTGCAAAGAGACTGTTTCCTGGATTTGAATCCATGACCTTTCAATCATGAATGAACAACTTTATCACTGTTCCGGTTCGCCTTCTTAAAAGAAGTGTGACATAGTATGAATATTATTTGAAATTATCAGTGAAGTTACTTATGAATAGCTGGACCTAGAAAACTCCCGTGTGAGTAGTAAGATTTATTTTTTCAGTCATATACTGATAGAAACTGAAGAAACAGTAATTTTATTGATCAAACAATGGATTACAATACTCCAACAAAGGCAGAATTCTCCTGAAATTAAAACCAACAGAAAAATAAAAGCAAATGGGCCAAAACAAGTATAATCAAGTACTGCAGATAGCAGTCCTGTCCTGGCCTCAGGTCACCCCAATCCTTATTCCAAATTCTTCTATATCCCTGTCTCCTCCACCCCTTCGTAGTATAAATGTTTTTCCCTCCCTCTCCCTCAGTCGCACCAGAACCATGCCCCCGTTCTCTGCACTAACCAAATTCCCTACTGTTTCATTAATTACAATTCCTTCTTTTGCTTCATTGCCCCTTATGCCTTCGCTGTTGCTATTAAGCCCAACTTCCTTGTATTCAGAACCCATCCATTTCCTTTTACTTTCGTATACCTGGGTAACGGCCCATCATATACATACGTCTTTGCTTTTATATTTTGCGGTTATACTTGTCTAATGGTGTTGGGAAGGGGGAGGTTGGCCGATAGTGTGAACCTTTGTTTTTGATCTTTTTGTTCGTTACTATGTTAGACATACATGGCTAGGCGACCTATTTTGGTAGAAAAAGATGTTGAGCTGTATTGAGTAAGTTCTCAAGCACACAAATTAATCATATTTTTTGGTAGGTAAATTGATCATATTTTCATTCCACATAATGAAAGTTTAAATAGACAAAAATACAAATTCAACTTAATTAATAACTACCAATTACAACAACTAAACCAAAATATAATAACCCATAAAACATCCGACTGTTATGATGTTTATACTTCAGGGGCCTCGCAGGTTGCCACGGGTTTTATGAATAACCTTACAAGTTTTTTGTTTTATTTAAGGGTTTTATGTTTATCATTTAACATAATATAACTTTACTTTCCTACACACATTAAAGAGGTGGGGTCCACATGTTTTTCTTTCTCTTTCATCATTCCACTTTCTCTCTCCCTTTTGATGTGAGAGTTGGAAACAACACTTACATTATGTTACATAACACTAATAAAACCCTTTATTTAAATTTAAATAGGTATTGTTGAAAAGTGAGCAGTCGAGGCCACAAGCCTGTCAAGTTAGTTGTATTGGTTTAATTATTTGGACTTGAAAATCTTCACTTTTATCCTACAGCCCGCCCGACCCCTCCGGTCCTCTCTCCCAGGGAAAGAAAGTGTGTGTAGATTTTTTTGTCCCCATGATAATTATTTATTTCAGAAACTTTTTTAGTTGAATTGTTTCAAAATCGATGGCTCATTAGCCGTCTCTAGTTTCTTCTTTTCTTTGTCGATTTCCTCTTCCTACTTTTGTTTATGATCTTTTATGTCCTGTCACTTCCATTTTCCTTTATCCTTAGTACATGAATATCAAAAAGCACTGTTTTTTTTCTCTCCCACGAGGATTACTTTTTTGAGTATTGGACTAATCCTCTCTTGAGGATCTGATAGCATGGCACCAATCATAAGGTGCTTTCCATTGGGGTTTGATCTTCTGCACTACAAGCAAAGTCAACCGACATAGTAATTCAAGCTGAAAATTGAGCCACACCTAGTGGTTAATCACACCTCGTATGGGTGTTTGTGTCCTCACTTCTATTACCTTATCGGTATAGAACTTACAGGTAAACCATTGAAGCTATTGCTGCAAAAGCAGCGGAAAAGTTTATGTATTTGTTCATTTATTATTTTGAAAGCATTTATCAAACGGTGGTAGCGTTGATAGTAACAGAGTTGAGTAAGTGGAAAAGAAAGAATCATAGTTCGATCTTCACATGTCAACTTTGGAAGGGATTTAAATATCTCCATTCCTGACTTGTCCTGCACTCTGGATTAGTCCTGTTGCAGACTCAAAAAAGTCAAAATTTGTGGAAATACCAGGAGGAGCCAACTTGACTCAAAGAGATAATTAGAGTTGAGTTAACTAAAAAAACATTTCTTAAGAGATTGCACCTTCTGTTCTATGTTGTTTCTCATCCATTTCAATTGAGCACCCACACCCATGCCCAAAACTAAAAGGTTGCAGTAGATTAATTGCTACGTTGATATATAAGTAGGAGATTTGCTTAATGTATGGTGCTGATAGTTTCAACTTTCAAATAATCTTGCAGAACTAAAGTGGCTAAGATTAAATCTGAATTTACTGTGAAGAATTACATGCATATGGTAGAAACCGACGAGACTTTCAACCAATATAGACGCTTGACTAGAAGTTGACCTGTTTCGTGTATAGTATAGGATAAGGCTTGACAGTATAAGATCTCATAGTATAAGATCTGATTGTATAAGATTTGATTAAATTTTAATACTATCCAGCGTTTGGTATGGTATTGTATAAGATAATATCTTCCAATATTTTAAAAATTAATATATTAAAAAAAATTATTTTAATATATTAATATTGAAAGGATATATTAGTTCTGGAGAATTGTAATTGTAAGCAATATTAATACATCAATCTTTTATCAGGTCTAATTCACCTCCCTTAGGCCAGATTAAGTTATACATCATTTTGATGTATTAAGGGGTTATGCTGAATAAACTTATACTATACGATGGTTACACCAAATAACTGAAAATGTCATAACATATAGTATAAATTTATACTATAAAGCCTTTTACATCACACCAAACAAGTCCTTGGGCCCTTAGTAACGAGAAATTGATCTACTGCTATTAGCAACACCATATTTTCTCCATTAACCCAGGTGTGAATGGCAAACATAATCATATTTTCTCCATTAATTATTTTTTTCATGGGAGAGTTCTATTAGCACTTGAAAATTTCTTGGGAATGCACACTTTACCATCCGTGGTGGCTGGTATGTTCACATGTATGTATTTAATGAAAATCTAAATGATTAAATTTTAATTAATATTTATCAAGCATGCATTTTTTTTTTTTGGTGAACTCAAGCATGCACTTTCTCTGCACCTTATCATTGCTCTTTCTAACCTTTCTTACTGTTGCTCTCTTTCTTTTTAACTTTTTAATTTAAGTTATTTTACTTGGTATATTATTTTACTTTTACTAAATTTTTATTATTTAAATTTTTTTGACAGAATTACTATACTTTAAAAAAATTAATTTTATTTTTACTGGTTAGAAATTTTATAATTAAGTTCTTAAAACATGTAACAACAACACATAAATGTATATGAGAAAAATATTTCTGCAGTTAATGCAAATAAGTTATCTGTATTTATTCCTAAAATGACGTCGTTTTGATATTGAAATCTTAAAAGATTATAAATATAAAGACTATTATAACCCTGAAATAAATTAAAATTACAAATACACCATGATTTTCGCAAGGTCATCTTCTGTATATCTGTAGTAGGTACATCTGTCATTCAACAAGTGACACTTGAATAAAAAAAATATTTTTCTCTTCTTTCCATACAAGATGACAGTCATTCCTCATTTTTTATTGGATAGATGTACTGAGTGAATGGTACAGCAGTAGTACCATAGATATTCCCGATTTCTGCCCCAAAACAACGTCGTATTGGGCTTACTGCAGATAACTTATCTAAAGTAACTGCAGAAAAGCGAACTCAATGTATATATATATATATATATGTATATATATATATATAGGGCTTAACATTTTTGCAGCAGCCGTAAATAGTATTATCTACAGCTGACACAGAAAAGTGGGTCCCACGGCTTCTTAAAAAAAAAAAACTCAGGATCCGTTGCCGTATCCTAGGATTCGGACGTGTATCCTTACTTGTTGTAGGTACAACAGCTGCAGAAATCATTTTGCCATATATATATATATAAAACAACAACACATAATAACTTAATTTAACTATATATAGACATCTATTAACTTTGTTTGAACGGTTTTCAGCAAATAGGACCTATTTAAAAAAAAAAAAAACTTTAAATACTTATTTGAAAACTTAAGTAAACTATGAGGATATGTGATGTAATGTAACCATTATTCTATTTTTTAATTTATTTTTTTTAGTAAATATTAAGGCCGAAACCCAATAGGACGAATGCAATTTTTTAATTCTTTAATTTTTTTTATGCATAAAAGTTTATATTAGGGAAGATTCATCTCCATATAAGGCTAAAGACGAAAGATTCGAGCAACTATGATAATCCTAGTGCAAACTTTAATTTAAAGTGATGAATAAATAAAATTAAAGGTTAAAGGGATTACTCAAGCGATCTTTTCTTTTGAATAAAAAAAAATTATAAAGATAGAATTATAATTATCTTTTTTTAAAGTTAAAATATGTCATAAGTCTTGATAAAACTAACGGTGGTCACGTTGCCAAGAAAAAACCAACAACAATAATTGACCAAGAACGTGGATCTCTCGTGTTAAAAAAAATATGACATGATCATGTGAAAAATTATAACTATACAAAGGTGGATCAATGGTAATAAAAGAACAAGAAAAAATATATATTGAAATATGTAGTTATAAAATCATAACAATTGATTCATCCTTGTATAATTATAATCTTCTCACGTGATCATATCATGTTTTTTTTTTTTCAGATGTATATCCATTTCCATGGAACACAAAGACATTTAATTGTTGGATGACTTGGATCTTATTAAGTCTCATGCTTTTGCCGTTATTTTTTTGTCTCACAGTCTCATATAACGCCTCCATTGCTATTTTTGCTTGCAATTGAAGGCAGGCACCCTCCCCACTAGGATTATATTTGAATGAACAAAAAAAGGAAAACAGAGGAAGATATTAACTGATACGGACCCTAATCTCTCTGTCCGTTGTTCATTATTTTTATTTATTTGAATTGTCAATTAAATGTTGGGAAAAGTATTTCTCCACTGGAGATAATTTTAATTATCGTTAGTAAGTCTAAAACGACGTCGTAAGATTAAAAAATTATAATGATAAAGACTAATATATTCCTACAATAAATTAGAATTACAAGAACCTCTTTATTTCCGTCACAAAACAAGATAACTTATGTTCATTCATTGGATAAATGTTTTACCCTTAAACGTTATACATTTTCCAAGAGTGCATATTATGCTAGTATTTTTATTATTATTATTATTATTATTATTATTTTTATATTTTTAATGATTCATTGAATAATTCGATCGATCGATTAATCGACATGTTAGGGAGCTCTTGGAAGACATTTTTTTTCTGCACGCGACACTTAGAACTTAAAACTTATAATTAAAAGGAATAAATTTCTTTATCACTTGAATCATTAACATTAATTTTTATTATTATTTTTAAGAAAAAATATTTATACTTTTAAAGAACAATTATTTTAGTTAAAATTAATATTTTTTATTTAATATTTAAATTAAAAAAATCTCTGTTTTCTCTAATCATAATTTCTATTTCTCTTATTATAAAATATAAAATATAAAATATGATAGTTTTGACTAAAATAATACAATTGTAAATTCTATAAAATGACATACACTAATTCTTTATTTTTATCATATCTCTTTTGAGGAGCTAGGTTACTTGCAGTTGCAGACTTGCAGACGTAATTTGGTCAGATTCAATGAGTATACAAACTTAGCCTCGAGGAGATGATGCTGAAGCTGAAGAGTGTATATAGTTTTTTTTTTTTTTTTTGCCTATACATATATATCTCTTGTTACACGGCATGTTAGAAAAAGAAGGAAAATTATAAGAAGTGACAAAAAAAGCATTACTGAAACTTAGAATATATATTGCTAGTTAACTTCGGGTATGCTTTCTAATACTGGTTTCCACCCTTGAGAGACATCGTCACTTTTTTGAGACAAATCTTCACCATCGATACCCTTTTCACCGTGAACTAGAGATAACATCTTGTCAACTGAAAACCCTCCATTCTGCAGCATATCCTGCAGTTCTTGCTTACTGATAACCAGCTTAATCCTAACCACGTTACTTTTCTGTACACCTTGGACTTCTGGATTCGCGAACCTCACCTTCTTCCAAGCTTTTGGTGACGGTTGTGGCAGAGGTACTAGGTAGTATAAGTGGCCACTGAGCAATTTGGTGTTTGGGTGAAGATGCTGATCAAGGACTGGTAGTGACTCAGATACTGCATGGCCAGAAAACTCTATCAAAATCTGTTCCACTTTGATGGGTGTTTTGTATTCAAGAATTTTCCCGTCGGTTTTCATGATCTTGACGATGTTTTCTTGCAGCACCAAGCAATTCCCCATGGCTTTTTCTTTTAGTGGTTGTGGTTTGCTTGGTAGGCAAGATGTTAGTTTAGTATATAGCAATTCTCTGAATGTAAGAAAAATGAGCTATGGAATGTGTAATATTTAAACCAAGTGATTGTAGAAACTACCCTCATGGTGTTTCATATATTACGAGAAGACCCTTAGTTTTATTTTATTTTGAATAAATATCTTTTTCGGTTTTCACCAAATTTTACAATGACGTTCGTTTTGGTCCTTAGCAAATAAAAAGGCTATTCGTGGTCTTTAAAAAAATTCAAAATGGACTCATTTTAATCTTTTTGAGAGATTAATATGAATCTTTTTTGAATTTTTGGAGATCACAATTTTAACTAAATTGGTCCATTTTGAATTTTTTAGGAACCACAAATAATTTTTTTATTTACTAGAGACTAAAACAAACATAGTACAATTTGCTAGGATCAAAAATGTATTTCTCTTTTATTTTTTGGAGCGTGGATTGGTTATGAAGTTTTGGAGTGAGTTGACTCGCCGAGTTAAAGTCAATGACTCAGTGTGTCCTACTCGGTTGTAATGCGAGTGGGTTATGACCGAACGGCTCATGGCCCACTTTTCTGTGTGAGGTAGAGCATGCTGGATGGGGTAGAGGCCTTAAAAGCTCAAGTGGTTGACCACTTGTGCACTGTGGATTTTGTTGTGTTGACTAAATCCTGTGCCACATTGACTATTTGCGCCTCTGCCATCCTCTGCTGTTACATCAAAACATGCTCATTAAGGTCGGCACCAAACTTGAATACTTGAATGAATGTTGCAAAGTTTCATACTTTGTTTTGTCCCATGTCCATATGAATCAAGATCATGTTGTTTGCCAAATAAATAAAAAAAACTGAGTTGAAGTAGTGATAAAGATTAAGAGTTCGAATTCGAAAAATAATGGGAGTGATTTGCCAAAAAAAAATATGCGTATATGCAGAACAACATGAAAAGAACAAGGTAGTTGCTTGCATCACTGCCAAAACTTGTAAACCATGCCAAAGAGTTTTTTGGTATAAATTTATTACCTACAAATATATGAAAATGTGTGGAACTCATGTTTTCTTTTTCTTTTTCTTTCCCTCACATGTCTCGTATGTGTCTCACACATTTTTATATATATAAATATAAGAGATAAAATTATCTCCTATAACACAAGAAACAATAATTTCGATAAATAAATATGTTGAAATTTCATCATATGTACTCAATATATTGTTGGGAATTAAAGCGACGGATAAAGAAATCTCGTGTCCGAAAGAAATGGGAGAAGCATAATACATATAAGTGGAAGAACTCATAAACTCAATGTTTTAAGATTTTGCATTGAGATGTGGTGTCGGACACTTTTATTATGGGTTTTGTTGCTTAAATCCATTGATACGTGGATAATATTCTTCTTGATTTGGGCTTCCTCCGGCCGCTGCCCAACAATGGTATCAAGACTTGCCCACTTGGTTAGTAATTCCATGAACACTCGTAAGAAGCTTTTTCTTGAAGAGAAGTTGACAATTGTAGAACTCACAAAAGTAGAGATTGTTGGAAATTTAATTGTGACTGATAAAAAAGTCTCACATCATGAAAGAATAAACTATATATGGTATATATAAGTAAAATAACTTATAAACTCAATATCTTAAAATTTTGGATTGAGATAGGGTTTCAGAACCTTATTATGGATTTGTATCATTAATATGTGGATGTAATCTCCCTTGATTTAGGTTCCACTTGACCGCTGTCCTGTACATATATATCTAGCTTTGTCATAATGCAGTTGTTAAAGCTCGATGCATTTCCAAAAGCGCATGATTATTATGGTACTAGTAATCTTAAATTTTCAGCATAAGTTTGATTTATTTTTATTTTATCTAATTATCAACCATGGGTGTAAGAGGAAGAGAAACTGAAGTTAAGAATTATCCGTACGTAATGAGTAGTTAATAATACTGTCCCGTAGGGTAAACCAGAAGAAATAAATTTGAATTCAAAAATGATCAATATTGAATAATGATTTAGCTGTCTTAATTCGTAACTTAAAATTCACATTTCAAAAAAGAAATAAAATAAATAGTATGTCCTGTCTTTGTCTTCTTTTGTGATGATGGCTTCTCTTGCGTGTGGTGTATATATTCTTATACTGCACGTTTTTTAAATAGCAACTGTATGCTATAGAAATGTTTCTTTTTAGCTTTTACTTCCTTTTATTTGTAAACAATTGGAATGGAATTGGGAATTGAAGACATTGGCATCGTTATCACCAACTATCCCATCTTTCATAAAGATCATCACTAATGGGATAGTTTGGCCCTGTGTCATTTTTGGCAAGTGGTGGTCCATGCTGAGAAAATTTTGAACCAGATTAGTCATTGCCAAGCTTTAACAAGAATACAATTGGCTAGGCTGCAAATTGAGATGCAAAAGGTTGAAAGTTTGACGCTTGAAGTTTGATGACAAAGCAGCAACTCTGGAGCACACTTCAAAGAACGTGGATTGAAGCTTGGGTATTGGGAGTTCTAGACTTCAACTTTTTTTAAAGAAGGCACAGAGTTGATAAGCAAGTTGTATCCAAGAAACGAACTGTTTGGGCCGAAATGTTTTTAGTTCAATTTTTTTTTTTTTTTTGTATAACCTGGAGGTATCTTCATTCAATCCTTTCCGATCACTTTACCTTCAGGGTACGGCTCTGTAAGTTAACCCTTCATTGGAAGAGTGGGTGCATTGAGCTTCGCTATCGAATGAAGGATGAGACTAATCCCCCGTTCGAAGAGGGAGACACATCCTCTCTCCCAATTTTTTTTCAAGAATTTGCTACCCTTGGTAGCTCACTGTTAGGGTTTTTTAGTTCAATTCTTAAGGAAAGCAACTTAAGGTGAGTAATAAAAACCTTCTTTATCTATGTTACGAAGAGGATTAATTTCATTTAAATAGATGTTATACCTCTACAAAAAATTAAAAGGACTAGATTGAAATACATATACCAAAATCAAAGATAAATTGGTGGAAATTGGGCAAATTAATTGCAGAAAGAAGGGCTTAGTGGTGGCTGATGTTGTCAACACGCATGCTGTGGAATGATGAAACTTCTCGCAGGCTATTGTTTGTTAGTGGAGGTAGGAAATGGGACTAATTAATTCAGTTAAAAAATCTATGGAATAAACATTACAGAAACAGATAAAAGGCAATGACTCTCTTATGAGTTACTATATCATCACTGGTGGGGCATATATCCTCCATTGATTCCTCTTTTCATAGATTAAACACAATCCCCCCAAGTTGGAGATAGATTTAAGGATATGTGGGAATATTTCCGTAGTAAAGTTTTATTTCATATGAAGAATGACTACCCCACACACACAAAAAAAAGGAATGACTTGGAGCTTTTACTAAAAATAAAAAAACTTTTTACACTTTTCTGTTTTAAAATATTTAATTTAAGATTATGCATAAGAATTAACAATATCATCAAGATACTCTCAATTTTAGAAAGAAAGAAAAAAGTAATTATTTGACTATATTACTCTTTCCCCCTCCGTTAAATATTAATGTTATCTCATTTTACTTAGTATAAATATCAAAAAGTGGGGGATAAATTTGAAAAAATTAATTAATTATATTCTAATTTTTTAAATGCGAATTTAATTTAAAACAAGTTAAAAATTTTAAATTGGCAATCATTTTGAAATAGAGGGAGTAGTTTGTAAGAGTTTACTTTTAAGTAGTTCATGCATTGCACGAGTATTATAAAATTAAATACATGTGAGATTATATAAAGAAAAATCTTGAATAAAAAATATTTAAGAGAATATTAATTCAATTGATATAATAGTATTTTAATGATACCAAAATATATTAAATTGAAATATAATCTCAAAAATTAATTTTATCGATGAAATATTAATTTTTCTCGTAATTTAATTTGATGATATCCCGTTACATCTAAAGTTAATTAGAGAAATTTGATTATTGATTAAATAAATAAAAAAAGGAAATCTCTTTTGAATGAATAATTAATTAAAGAGAAAAAATATTAATTTGATTTGATATGAAAATAAACATATGACTGTGTAAAAAGGAGAGTACGTATGGATGTTATATCATTCTAAAAAATGATAACTTAAATTTATTATATAAGGATAGATATAATTATAATGTATATAAAACTTTATATATATATATATATATATATCATTTTAAAAACATTGATCCCATTTATATTTAACAATTTTAATTTATTATATTTACTGGAATTTCTGAACGTTGATAGTAAAAACTAAAAAATTGACATCTTTTATTTATTTACCGGGTTACAAAGAGTCTTTTTTTTTTTTTTTGGGAAACAGAATGAGAATCCAGTTGAAGTGTAACAGTATGCTAGCCCGTCTTAATTACTCACTGGAAAATGCTATATATAGCTGGAATTTGAGGAAGCTGCTGCTTCCAATTGCTGTTTTAACTTAAAAGATGTTCATAATCTGCTACACTGTGCTTTAAAATGTGAAACGTTCATTATTAAACCATTAAAGTTCACAAAAAGATTATTTGCTTTGCAAATGCAGTGTAAAGTGAAAGAGGCTTTGGTTAGATATTTATGTTTCTGATGGAAATATCATCAAAATCAACCATGGGAATAGATTTACCTGGCAAACAGCCACTGGTCTCAGCTGGATAACCCACTGGCCAGTTGATTTTAATGCCAGAACATGATACACCACTTCAAGCATATTGAGACCAATACAATTGAGGATATATGAGTCTAAGCCTTTTAAAGAAAGATTTTTAATTATGTTACACACGAAACACAATATCTGGGAGATATTTCCTAAGATGCTCAAACTTAAATTATTGGTTACAATATTGATTTTTAGTTCTGATAAGAATTAGTATATGAGATGGTGTAATTAGTTGCGTCAGCCTCATGAATGCATCTTTTTATTTTTATTTTTCTTATTAGTGCCCCACTTTGATTTTCTTTAGAATGATTGTTGATTTATTGCATTGGCCGGCTAGAAAACGATCATTTAAATAATGGTAAA